CAAATGCAAGGATTATTATTATTATTATTATAACTGGTGAGGACACAAATTCCAACAAAATATCTTTCTGCATAAAGTGTCTGTTTAGGCCATAACCTCCAGCTAACTACCCTCTTCTACCCCAACTAACTTATGATTTTTCGTCTACAATCAAGTAGATTTCTAGGGAAACCATATCGCACCACTTTCCTCCTATTATCATGTGTCAATTATATGTAAAGCCCAATAGATAAAGGTAACTTGATCCGGATGTATGTACCAACTTGGTCGGAAGTACAATACCAACACAGGGGCACTTCCTGTGGCCTGGGGAGGGGAGTTGTCACATTCTTCAGTAGCAGGAGAGAACTCTACATATCCATTCTCCTCATCTAATGTATGCTCCCAATCAGCACCTACCTTGGACCTGGAACCTCTATTTACGGATCCTGCCATACCGGAAACCTATTGATGCCAGACTCGGGGGAGATGCTATAAGGTGCATTGCTGGTGTTGATGTGAGTTTATTGATGAAAATGGAAAGAACAAAAGGGAAATTAATGAAAATAACCCAAAGTGAATGGGATTTAAAACTAGAAGAACCAAGTATTTTTAGATGCAAATCGCACAATAATGTGATCATTAAGTATACAAATAGTGGCTAAAGCCTCAAGTGGAGACTTTGAACTCAGTTTAGGTTGACAGTCCAGTATGAATTGCTGGAATCTTTTGGATGAGATATTAAACCAGATATTGGTGTATGTTAAAGATCCCATGACACTATTCAAAATGAGAAGGGAGCTCCTCCCAGTATTCTGACCAGCAATCCTCCAGATAAATTGGTCATTCATTTCATGGCTGCTTTGTGGGATGTTGCAAATTTTGTTGTGGAGCAACTGTGAATATATTCACCTGCAAAAGCCATAGTCATTGCACTTTATAGTAAATTGTGTGAAGTATTTGAGACTTCTGACATGAAAGGTGCTATACCAAATACAAATATTATTATATGTCCAACGATGAGAGTACACAGGAGCTGGGAAATGTGTAGAGCACAAATATAATTCTAACCTATTCAAACCCAGACAGCCAAACAGTATTGTAGAAAAAGGGAATTAACAAGCAGTTGGTTCACAGCCAACCTCCTGACACCCAGTCCTCCAAGGCAGTCTGGAGGAATGCAATGAGGTTGAGCCCCAATGTTAGAGGGATGAACTATAAGGAAAGCAAGAGAGAAATAACTGAGGCTAAACAAAGACTATTCAGTTTAGTAAGGAAGCTCCTTGGACCTGAATAGTGGGTTAGTAAACTGGATAGAGGAAGTGACATAGCACAGTATCTCAGGGAGGAAACTGGCCAGGAGAGCATCATTGCGTCAATAAAGTGAAGGACAAGTTTAGGGCCAATAACAGGAAGCACCATGACACTGGGTAATCAATTTTTGATCAGCTGGGTGTCTCATACACTCAAACCTATCACCATTCTGATAATCAAACCAAACTGATTTTCACTATAGTTTACAACTTCCCTTTGTATATGTTGAGGGTAACTAACTATTAGCAGAATGAGTTAGCAGAAATTTGTGGTGAAGGCCGGAACACGAGGTTTAAGAAACCTTGTTGAAACTGTAATGAGAAGATGGAAGCATGGATATTCTGGAGATAAGAATGGACTGAAAGGCTTTTTTCACCTGAGCCTCTCTCGGGATGTAAATGGCATACAACATATCACATTAACACAAAAAACAGGAATGAATCGTACAGCAAACTTTATCAACAAAAAATCAATACCATGTTACCTTTACAGTGGACTTTTCATCTCTATTACATATGTATCATCATAAGGAACAGTCTCTTCCAGTTACAGGGAGCACACAAGCAGATGAGAGTGAGGACAAATGGGTTGAATTAAACTATAACATATACAAAGGCACGTTTCACTTCAGGGTGAGACGTGACCTGACATCACGTCTATTACACTTGCACAGTACCTCGGAAGCAATGAATTCATCTCTGTTAACTCACCATCTCTCTCTGTTACTTCCCATATTTTGTGCATCTGAACGTTCTAATTTTGGCAATGCAATTCTGCATATTTTGTTTAAAAGTGGGTTTGTCGTACAAGGTACATCCCAAGAGAAAGAAACTGAAAACCATGCATGCTCGAAATCTGAAATTAAATCTCCACTGAGTGGGAAGACCATTAATCATTCCCATTCTTGACCTCTGGCTCCTTTCTCTCCTCCCTCTTACAGAAATTCGTGCTTGTATTCTCTCCCAGTAACCATCACATCTGCCACATTACTGTCTACCATTAATACAATTACCTACAATGCAATCTCTCATCGACCCTTTCTGCAATATGCTCATTCACTCCTCCATCAATCCCAACACTGGCTAAGCTTTCACTGCAATCGCAGCAGATGTAGCTCGTGTCGCTTAGTTTCTCTCCATAGTCTCATCCAGGTCCCACTATTTCCATGTGAGACAGTGGTTTATGTGTACAGTACTTCCTGTTATTTGCACCATTGTGTTTCTTTATCTGGCAGCACTCTCCTTTCCAGGGGAACAGAACCAAACCCATCAAACCTTTATAGGGGGAGAGAAAACCAAACCCAGATTATTAGGTTTTTTTTGCCTTTCTGATATGGGAATGTTTCTGACTTCCTTATGCCACACTTCATTCACCTTCTGCTCTCACTTCACATCTGGCCTCGTATATAGCTTCAACAGCATTACACTATTGCGCTTCCCTTACTTTCCCATCCAACAGTTAGACATTCAAATTCTCAATCTTGAGCTTCTTTTGTTGGATGGTAGGTACGAGGAACTCCTTGCGAGCTTCACTGTGGGCAACACAACTCAGCACGAAACCTTACCCTGCTCATTCACCCCCTGGACCCTTATTCAAATGCCTGTGTGACAACAACTGCTGTAAGATATCCTTTGTGAAATGGACGTTACGTGAAGCTCCTTTTCCACCGATAAAATGTACAGTCAATTCACTTTACAGCATATTCTGTGAGGCACTTTGAGACTTATCAAAGATGTGAGAAAGCACTACATCAAATTCAAGGGCTATTAATTTCACCAGCATTTTAAAATCTGATAACAAAATCCGATAACAAAATCCGATTATCAGATCAGATTTAACATTCCATGGTATGAGTGAAGTCATTCAGTGCCTCTTTTGGGGGACAGTAATCAGTACATTTGAATTTTTAACTCCTATTCTCTCTCTCTGGCATGTTTGGCATTGCTCCCACTGTCCACGTCAGTCTTATACCGAAGGATTTCTTCAGCCTCATACCAACAGTCCCAGGGAGGAGATTGATTCACAAACGCTAACCTATATTTTTCTTAAATGATTTTTATATAGTGCAGTTGCGTGTTTTTTCTGTTTTCATTTGTCTTCTGAATTCAGTAATACCTTACTTAGATTTACTTACTATCACGTACATACACTTTGAATTTATGATCAAATGTAAAACTATATGTGGTCCATAATTCCAGGCAGGGTGAAACCTTGGGCAAGTTTCCTTACTCCACACAGAGCCTAATAATAATCCTTCCAAAACCAAACAATAATAAAATGGTCATTTTCAATCCACGACTGTTTGTGGGACATTGCTGTCGCGTTTTGCCAAAAAATATACGGTCAATTCACTTTACAGTATATTCTGTGAAGCGCTTTGAGACGTCTAGAAAAACAACTATATCAAATGCAAGGATTATTATTATTATTATTTTATAGTCTTGAGTACCACTGGATTCTCAGCAGTGGTCAAGCTAGCACAGTCACTGGAGAGAAAAATTAACCAAAAAGAAACATAGTTTTCTATCATGGGTAATTAGTTGCACATGGCTGGAATGTTGGGCACGTTGTGCATTTTGGAACACAGAAAAATTCCAAGCAATATTTGACTTTGAAGTCGGTGCCTTGTTTTTAAAGATTCCATTCCCACGCAAATAATCAGACTGTTTCCATTACTTCAATCCTCATTTCTGTTACATTTCTTGTCCTATGGGAAGGAGGAATTTAGTTGCACCTCAACCAAACGCTTTCTCAGATTATGTTTTGGTTACTAATACTATTGTATTGGGTATTATCTACAATATTTTAAACTAAAGCTGTTTACACCAAATATGTGATCACATATGATTACATTAGCAGATCTGAGCACGGGCAAGCTTCCCCAATCTATTATTTTCAGTAGGTTTCACATATGGGGTCTTATTTGTACAGGAAAATGATTCCAAGGACACAAGAAGGGAGAAAGAAAACCACCAAATTTGTTCTGAGCCAAATTCCAAACAGCTACCTGGTCTCTGATCCTCAGTAAGAAATGTGGACAAGTTAGCCAACATCACAACTTGCCTATATATGTGAGTTTAGCTTTTGCAAATCTTTCCTGTTAAGCAAAAGGTTCAGTAAATTCTTTGTCAGTCACGTTTGGTATATGTAAACAAAACAGTGGATGGGGGAAGCTTAATTTTTTTAAAACTTGCATAGAATACAGGCAAAACTACCAGGGTAATGCGATATGACACCACAGACCATTTTCAACTTCAATATGTTTTGCTTTGCTGACAAAGAATAAGTACTGTATATACCATTAAAGGTAGGACATGTATCAATTTCAGCCAGCAGGCGTTCAAACTAAGCATCCAAAATTGATCAATCTCCCCAATCAGCGCTACAAGATAGCTAAGGGTTTGAAACTCCAATTGATTAAAGTTATAATAATAATAATATAATAATCCTTGCATTTGATATAGCGCTTTTCACGTCGGGAGGACGTCCCAAAGCGCTTCACAGAACACACTGTAAAGTGAATTGACTGTATATTTGTGGGCGAACGCGGCAGCCAATTGCGCACAGCAATGTCCACAAACAGTCGTGGATTGAAAATGACCAATTTATTATTGTTTTGGTTTTGGAGGGATTATTATTAGGCTCTGTGTGGAGTAAGGAAACTTGCCCAAGGTTTCGCCCTCTGCCTGGAATTGAACTCAGGTCTCTCACTTGCAAAGCGAGTGCTCTAACCACTGAGCTACAGGACTCCACATGTTCAGGTCAGTTCCTTTGGCCACAGGGTAGATAAATATACAAAAAGAAGAATCAAATGCCGAAAGATGCAAGTGCTTCATGCCTAGAGGCACTAGTTTCTATTGAGGCACATTCTTTATAATACTGTTAATTATAGTCAAAGCAATGAAGATCTGCACTTTCTCACTGTCAAAAACAATGGAGTTCTGTTCAGTTAAAGGTAAGTGAGTTGAGCAGAATTGACTAGAATATTTCACTATGGAAGTCAAAACCAAAAGCAGAGTTCGTTAACCCACAAATGATTAATTGAATGTTTCCTCAAATACAATGAATGATTTTTTCAAGTATTTGCTTCCCCACTGGAGATGTAGTATTGTGTGCAGTTATAGAATCACCTGACCAACTGGGGAAAATGCAATGAGGACAGAAAGCTAATGATGACCTAGTCAAACCCTTCCTTGTATCAACACCAACACTGCTACTGGGCTGCCAAAAATTTTTCAAAATGCATATTTTATTCTAAAAATAAATTGTAAAAGAAATCGAAAACCGGATTGAAGCCAAAATACACCTTTAGCTCTGCTCTAGAGGTTTATAGTTAGTTTTTTTTTGCTTTGCAAATGCTGGTGGTATCGCTTGTACACAGCACCCCCTCCCCCCTTCCCACGCACACAGGAAAACGCATCTGTCACCTACAGGAAACTTAGCTGATCTATTCAGCCAGCTATTTTCTGACTGAGTGGAGAAAAGTGCCCCTTTTTTTAGAGTGAGCTGGAAGGAAGTGACCACATCCCCTGGTGTTGATTTGTCTGCTCTCTTCTCACTCCAAGTCCCATGCAACAGAACGCCAGCCTAGTCGTACTGACAGTGTCAAATATCTCTTCTTTCTGTCCCATACCGGCAAATGGTGACTACGCTTCATAACTTAAGACAATCCACAAAAAGAATACAAATAATAAAAATGGTGTTTTTTTGCTCAGTGATATTCTTAGTATCATTTTTCCCTAAAGCTAGGAGATGTGTTTAAGGTTGATACTCCCTTCAGCTTGACCAGAGTTGGGTTGTATGTGAGGCTGGCTGGGTGTGTGCAGGGCTCAGATGTGCACGCTCTTGGCATGGGTCGGGCTGGTGGTGGAACTGGAGCCTTGAGATGAATAGTAATAGCGGTTTTCCGTGCGGTCAGCAGCTGAGCCGGTGCAGCAGGAGATCACCGCTCCGCCGAAGAAGCAAAGGGCGGTGCCGATCCAGCCGGCAAACAGCGAGTAGCCGAAGTTATAGAGATGCTTCTCGTGGTGAACTCCTACCGGGAACCAAATGGTGGCGACTGCGGTGCAGAGCGCTGGGAACACAAATACAGGCATACCCACAGGTCAAGTCAATACAGTTCCACTCAAAGGACAGTAGCGGTGTTTGTGGTCAACACTGTCACCCATTAAACATTATCACCCATTGAAACATTATCATCCATTTACATTTTTCAAAAAAGAATCGTCATGGTATCTGGGACCTTAGAGCACAGGAACAACAACAACAAAATTACATTTGCATAGCGCCTTTCACATCAGGAGAACATCCGAAGGCGCTGGAAGAGTTTGTGTCACATTGAGTTGTTTCACGTTATCATTACTGGGAGCTGGGTTGAGGCTTTGGGACATCCTCCCAACGTGAAACGTGCAATACATATGTAACTTGTTGTTGTTGAGGTTGCTGTCGAATCCATCCAACCTTTGAAAGAAGCGGAGACCAGAGGAACTGCAATCTGTCCAGGGAGGAATCAAGCTTGTGTTCCAGTGGTGAATGAACCATGTTCACCTGATGCTAAGAACGTCCCCCCCACCCCCACCCATCTTTTTAAGGGCAGGACAGGCCATTGCAGTACCATGACTATTTGTGGGACGCTGCTGTGTGCAATTGGCTGCCGCATTTCGCCCACAAAATACACAGTCAATTCACTTTACAGTATATACTGTGAAGCGCTTTGAGACATCGTGAAGATGTCATCAGGTGCTGTATCAAATGCAAAGATTATTATTATTAACGACCACTGCAGTGGGATCCAGTATTGCATATTGAGTTGCAGTGATGTAATCTCTTCATGACCAAACACAATTGGATATCCAGGAGGGTGGTTTAGTTCTTACCTACACAAAGCAGGAGAATGGCACCCAGTAACGAACGCTTGTGTTTGACCGATTCCGTCTCACTTCCAAGGTGCATGCAGGGCAGAGCGGTGAGTACCAGGAAAATGGCGGGCAGTCCCAAGATGGAGGCGGTGATCATCAGGGCTCGACTTATCTGGACATAAGCTGTCAAAACAAAGCATCCATAGAGACAGGTGGAAAGAATCAGGAGAACGAAACTAAGGCACTTTGACACATCGCAACGATGTGATAAGTTGCTATATCAAATGCAAGAATTATGACTATTATTATCAGAGTGAGCAATCACAAAGACTATGAACCAAGATATAGGCAGATGGATATGTTGGACCTTTTTGATCAATGATAAATCAGCGATCGATTAAACTGTTGTTGTAAGGGACAGAAGAAAATTTGGGGACAATTTCTTCACCCTTATGTGTTGACTCTTTGCTGCCGCATAGTGTAGCAAAGATCATTCTGTTCAATAAACAGGATTCACTAAATCTTGGCAATGTTGGCAATGTTTCAATGAATGACAACAAGAAAGTGATCATGAGAAGGAAACCTGCCCTGATTATTTTTCTCTCTCCTTTGCTCATCGATGACCATTGTTTCCCACTCCTCTGTTTCACTCTCGCTATCATTCCTTCATTTAATCCCAACTCCAGATCATTTCAAAATAAAGAATAGATATGCTATAACAGGGCGATTATCACTCTTTTCATGTCTCTCAGCCTTGAATTTCTCCCCTTATTGACATGACCAGTCATTTGTGCTCTGAGCCATTCGTTGCTGAGTTGGGACCAGAGAGTTTGTGATCGTTAAAGTTGAATCTTTACCTTAGACTGGAGATGAAACGGAAGTGGAGGGAGGGGCGGGTGAGGAAGAAGAGAGAGAGCGCGGAAGATGAGACACAAGTGAGGCAAGAGACAGAAAGAGAGGGAATGAGGAGAGAGAGACGCAGAGCTAGTAATATAAACCAAGAGGCTGCGCTCTGTGTTGTGTGGATGAGGACAGTGGTCTTGTTATAGTAATCACTCCTCATAACTGGACAGACTTAACAGTGAGAAAAATTATTTATGTCTATTTCATCTCAGGCGATGCCCACAATAAGGCTTGGACCCAAGCAGCAGCCATCGGATGTGAAGTTACAAACAGACCAGCTACAGCTTTGGCAAAGGTTATTTGTTTTTCATAATGACGCCTGTTCCTTTTTAAAAACTCTTTCTTGGCGCCTCTTTCCTACTTTTGTTTAAACGTACAAACCAGCTGCTTCTCCTCCTCCTCCACTCTGCAGCTGCAATAACACGTGCCCCCCAGAATCCCAGCCACTTGTGTTATAACTGCCTTGAATCTCTGGTTCCCCTCGGGACCAATAACTATAAGATCAGCCACTGCAGGAGCTCGGCATTATTGTTTTGTCTTTTCATGGTAAAATCCTGAACGGATCTGGGGGCTTCAACAGGTGTGAGGGGGTCACTGCTACTGTTCCTACACATAGCCTGTCTATTGCCCTATGTTTAGAAGATTGGCCCCAAGTGGATAGAGACCCGCAGAAAGAATGTACAGGAAGCAGCCCCCAGTGATTTGGGGTGTGTTTTGTGTGTGTGTGGGGGGGGGGGGGGGGGGGGAGGTGGGCGGGGGGCTAATTGTACCAATCAGTCACTTTGGTAAATGTTATAATAATGATAAACCTTGCATTTGATATAGCATCTTATCACATCTTCTAGACGTCTCAAAGCGCTTCACTAAATATACCGTTAAGTGAATTGACCCTATATTAATTAATTAATCAAGTGATTATTGTCCCTGGAATTTGATCTGCCACTCGACTAACAACTGAGTTTCTACTTATGCTAGGTATATTGTGTCATATCCTCATCACTGGAAGCTGGTCTGAGCCACAGGACACTGAATTAACTGGTCAGGAATTATTGATTCAGTAGATGACTAATAATATTAATATTCTTATTAGTAGGATATTAAACTGGAAAACAAATGTGTCATTGCTTTTCCTTCAATCTCGGGACCCACATATTTCTATATAAGTGACGTGGATACTGAATGAGGATGAATAGTCATTTCCCATTTTGGCTACTTTTATTAATTATGTCATTTTCCTCGATGGACTAACTTTTATGCAATCTACTTTCCGTCTCTGGAAATCCATCCGCTGAGTCACTCCGCCTCACTCCCTCACTCCCTCCCCAATTTTAAAGACTATTCTAAGACTCATCTCCTTGGCATCTCTATCTGTTATCCCCTCCCCCCACCCCTTCCCCATCTCATTAGGTGCACAAAGTCTTTTGAGACATCCTTCCCATAAAGGGCGCTGTACCAATGTAAATTGCATTATTTTGCTTTTTTTAAAAAAAACAGAACTCTGCCTTTTAAATTCACATTTGTAATTGGAGCACAAGGGTATTGTTAGTCCTGTGCAAGAGAGGAGATAACAGGAAACAGGAAAGGGAGATAAAACATGTATCAAATGGTTCACTGTCCTATACACTCACTGCTGACTGGCTGAAAGCCAGATGTGAATAGTTTTTTGTTGTTCGCCTTACCCAAGGAGTGTTTACCAGCTGTGAGCTACGAGAAATTACCTCAGCTTTGTGAAGTTGGACTGTTCCAGTTATTACTGAGGGGCCAACGCACCATTGGTGCCAAATCACATTCACAGGTCAAAAAACTTCAAAAGCAAAGCGATTGAGGAAGGAGTAGGGCCAGATGCAGGCGATCATAACCTCGCCCACCCCTCTGAACTTAACCAGCCAGAGACAGATAGCTTTGGAATCCTATAATAATTATGGATTCAATCATATTTCACCTTGAAACATGTGCACATCAATGTATCAATCGCATCGCAGTTCTTCTTTTACAAATGTCCATGAGATTTTAAAATGATGAATGACAGAGGCCCTGAAACTGGTACATACAACAATCCATTCAACCATTTACAATGGATTCAATGCCACCTCTTCAGGGCGAAGGTAATTTACATCATTCCCAATGCACTAGTTTCCCTCCCAGCCTATCCTTGCCATTGTGGCAATCAACTGGAGCATTAGTGAAGCCCTGATCCTAAGACAACAAACAGTTAAAAAGATGAGAAGTCACTGAATTAAGTTGGGGCTGAAGAAAAGAAACAGGAATAAAACAATGGCATGAAACACAAAGAAAAGAGAATTAGCGCGGGAAGAAATAATTAAACTTTGTTCTATTCATTCTAAAAACTAAATTTAGTTTTGCCAACAGGGGTGGGGGCTTGTGTGGCGAGGCAACTATTATCTCCTGCCTCCTCCCTGCTCCCTGTTTCGGGCATTTGGTCATATCTGTGGAGCGCTTCTTGTCAAACTTCCACCTTTTAGCTCTACATTGGCAGTTAACGTTAGACATAAAACTGATTTTCAAACAATAAAAAAGCTTTTTTTGTAAAAGAGAAGTTGAATTTTAAAAGATCTAATTAGAGCTGGGGGTAAATTGAAAGTAAATCTGAGTATTATTATTGTTTAATAATATAATAATATCATATATTAGTTTCGCCCACAAAAGAGTCAATCCACTTTACAATATACACGTCTCAACTACATGATAAGGCACTCTCTCTCTCTCTCTCTCTCTCTCTCTCTAAATATATATGTCAAATGCAAGGATTATTATTAGTATCTGAAGACTAAAGCTAGGTAGTGTTGGTGTATGTGGGGGTGAGGGTGTGCTGAATATTTAGGAATATTAGGAAGCTATCACAATTGAGCAAAGAGTGAGAGAATAGGAGAATAGGAGGAAAACGAAAATAATAGAAAAATTATGGGGGTGAGGGAGCGAAGTTTGCATTTGAAGTATTTGAATGTATAAATTGTAGTTGAAATGATTTATGTGATTGCACTTAATTGATGACGTCACATGGGTAACGTTATAATGAAATCATTCTTCTTTTTGAGCAACTATTTTGTAGGGTTTTTTTTAATATCATGTTCCCTGTATTTAGCCTGAATCTACTCACGAGTAGAAAGTCTCCCTATATATACGAAGTAGTGATAATAACTTTCAGGGTAAAAATAAACTTCAGAAACCAAGAAAGAAGCGAAAAACGGGGATAAAGGGGCCCTGAAGAAACCATCTCAAGGTTAGGAAGATAACGGGTTGGGGAATCTGAAATGCAAAGCAATTATGTGTTGTGCCAGAAATGCCCTTAACCGAAATTCGTGAATACAAAGTTTTCTAACAGAACCGGTCGGTGCCAATGAGTACAACAAACACAAAAGCTCATCTTACAATTGCACCAAATTGCACATTTGCAAATTCACTCAAATTGTACAATGAAGCCTCATCAATGGAAACGTATCTCACAGACCCACACACACACACACACATCAGTAAGCGAATAATGACTGAATGGCTGTACCTGGGATCTCCAGGATATCCGCTAGATTCTTGCAGTGGTAAATGCCGAATGAGGTGAAGCATTCGGTCCACAACCCGTAGGATCCCAACTCGTCAAAGCGTCGACAACTGGCAGCGCCATGGGAGCAGGTCTGAACCCAACTGTTGGTGCTGGTGGCGATTAAGATGCCAACCCAGCCCAAGGCACTCACCACAAAGCTGAGGAACTGCAGGCACGTAGCTGTCATTCTGTTTTTTCCCCAAAAAGTCAGCAATTATTAACAGAATTTCGCCCCAAACAAACAGAAAAAAAAGTTTCCACGTTTCTAGAAAAGTGCCTAAAATTTGTAGCGCAAAGAATGATCAATTCCAGAAATTCGTGCCCCAAGTTTATTTACTTTTTTTTAGCTTTTCTGCTCTCGGTGGCTTTTTGTGTGAGATTCATCAACATCCACAAACCGATTCTCCCAGAAACTGAGGCTTTTCCCCCAACAGACAACTGGACAAAGTTGGGCTGTAAGTTTTTGCAGCCAATCCGAGCAACCAAAAGAGGATAAACTTTCCGAGCCAATCAGGAAAGAGGAATGTTATCTCTTAAAGGGAATACACAGAGAATTGTATCAGGCGATTTCAGTGAAATTTGGGAATTATAATTGGTTATTCAATGCTATTTTACTCTTTGTTTTCATTCCCCCCCCGGTGGGTAGTGTGAGACAGGATAAGTCATAGCAGAAATGTAATTGAGATTCATTTTAATGAGTGACACAGGGAAAATGTCCTTTTTTAAATAAAGTATTCTGGTTCAAGTAGGCAACATTATCATAAATGCATATTTTAACAGAGGAGATTAACACTATGAGTACAAAACCAAATTTAATTGATCAAATCCATTTTTAATTTGTCATTTTATTCTGAAGTGTATTAAATATTTCATCTCAATAGACGGTAATAAGGGAACATTAAGTAAGGACCTGCATACAGTACCGTTTATTAAATGCTTTGTCACCATCTCGTGGTTAGTAGTTATATTGCAGCGCTCAAACCTATTTGCGTTCCTGTGATCATTGGTTAGAAACACTGGATATATCTATTTCCTATATTGCTTTCCCTGTAGAAGCTCGACCACTTTCTTCTGCACATTATGTCTTTTTGGACCTAGATTGTCACCTGATTGTCAGACTCAGCAACTTGTGTACCGTTGTACACTGAAATCTTCCCAGTTAGGAACAGACCAGGCCTCCCACGGTTATACACTCAGAGTCAGGCTGTTTGTGTAACTGAGTGCACAGTGCAATGGGCGGGGGGGTCGAAATATAATCTCTAAGGTACACAATTAATCAGAAGTTGAGTTCTGATTGTGATTTAATAATGTTCTCGTGTTGGTGCTGTGTAATCATTGCACATTTATCCAAGTGTACCTAAATGGCCACAATTTTATAACTTCAAGGAAACCAATAAAACAGCATTCAAGTGCTCTGGGACGCTATCCTGCGTGAAGGGCATTATATAAATAATAATAATAATAATCCTTGCATTTGATATAGCGCTTTTCACGTCTTCTCGATGTCTCAAAGCACTTCACAGAACACACTGTAAAGTGAATTGACTGTATATTTGTGGGCGAACGCGGCAGCCAATTGTGCACAGCAATGTCCCACAAACAGCCGTGGATTGAAAATGACCAATTTATTATTGTTTTTGGTTTGGGAGGGATTATTATTAGGCTCTGTGTGGAGTAAGGAACTTGCCCAAGGTTTCGCCCCCTGCCTGGAATTGAACTCAGGTCTCTCGCTTGCAAAGCGAGTGCTCTAACCACTGAGCTACAGGACTCCACTGTTAACTTGTGTTGTTGGTTCATTACACAAATGTATACTTTACACAAATAAATATACTTAATTTATTTCAAGTTTTTGAGGAAGAAAAAAACAAACTTGACAAGTTTTGAATAAACTGATCATTTAAAGACATTCCTAATTTTCCTCATAAAATTGACGTAACACACATCAATTGGATTTAAATACTAACCAACTACAATAGAGTATGGTATAATGAGTTACATCGTGCAATGTATACTTCACTCTGATTCTGGGAAAGAATCATTTCTTTGTGGCTTTAACTTTTAACAGTTTGTAGATCACCCTCGCTGCTCCATCATCAGATATGACCTTAATGGTTTTCAGCTGTGCTATTGAACTTGCTTTGAAAGCCGCATTGGCTCGCACACTGTTGTCACAAACAATGTAAATGCCCATCCTTTGACCGTGCCTCTACATTTCTCTGATTTATAGCTCGCTGCCCACAGCTCCCACTGTTAAATGTGTTGGTGATCTCAAAGGCAAATAACACTTTGTAAATGAAAATGTACAAATTACATTGGTGCTTAGTCTGAGGGGAAACAAATAACCCTGTAATGTACACTGGGAGCTGCGTTCAAATTCCATTAAACCAGAAACTAAAAATAATAATTTGGTCACAACTGTTTGAGGGTCTGTGTGCAATTGGCTGCTGGTTTCACCCACAAAGAATTCACTTTACAATATATTCTGTGAAGTGCTTTGAGACGTCTCAAAGACGTGATAAGGCGTTATATCAAATGCAATTATTTTTATTATTACTAAAGGAGTGCATAGAATTAAAATTGAAATTTCTTCAAAGTATTTTGATGCAGAAGAAACGTATGGAAGATATTTTTTAATAAAATTTGTATCATCTTTATTAGTGCTGAGGCTGTGAGGCTCAGCTGAGATTGTTCAGTTGCAAGTGACTTTACAGATGTTGGTATTGTGAACTGAATAATTTTACAAACTCACACCACCAAGGATTACCGGTAGCAGAGAATAAGACTTGCTCATCTGCCACATCACTAAATGTATCAGTGACCAGCCAACGACTGCCAAAGTTTAGTCAGATTTCCACTTCAACTATTAACTATTCAAACATTGATTGAATTTGTCAGATTAGAGAGTGTTAGAAGGATAGTCCCATCACCGTAAACTGTAAATATTAAACCATCACATATTTACTGCAATACGATTGTGACACCCACTGGTGGAACTTCAACATTGCACCAAACTTCATGGCTTTTTTGTAGAATTTATAACTACACTAAGAATTAAGATTGGGTTTAATATGCGGAAATTTCTAATAGGCTTCCTTCATAAAGAAACGGGAATCGCCTGGTGCTGATCCTGCCAACACCACTCTAATATAAGAACATAAGAAATGCTATACGAAAAGCAGACCAAGATCCATTCAGTTCACCTTCCATCAACCTGACAGTCGCTTGACATGCCGTGTCCCATATATTGTATTCCAAGATATTATTTCCTAACAGAAATCTATAACAGAATATTTCAAGCGTTGATTTTATTATGCTATTTAGAGTAAAATAGCAAACGATGCAACATTCTTTAAAATTCCTTGGATAGTTTCCTTCCATAATTTCTAAATTGTAGATTTAATTCAATAATCATTATATTTATACTCGTGTATGCTTTATGTATGTCACATAGAAATCACAACATCACTCATTTATAGTTTACTCATCAAAGGCAAAGGCAAGAATAAAGGCATTTATTCTGTTCTAAATATCTGAATATTGATACAAACTAAATATACTACAATGGTGGAGAATAGGTTTCATCCTCAAGATCGGAGAGATTATATATCTCTCAGAAGTGATAGGAAGCAATTAATAGATATGTGGGATATACTTATAGATGTTTGAGATATATAGATGAGTTAGGTAATAAAATTAGTAATAAACAATGAAAAAGTCTTGAAAGTCCACTAAGATGCGTCAGATAAGTCTAATTTCTTTCCAAAGGAGTAGATATGAAACAAAACCAACAAATTACATTTACATAGCGCCTTCCACATTGGGAGAACATCCCAATGCGCTGCACAGTCAGGGATTTGGACTCAAGCTGGAGGGAGGGATCATGAGGGGGTTAAAAACAGGGGTTATATTAGCTCCAGTTATATAGCCCGCTTGTTTGATGTTTCTTTTCCCATCAAATGCTTCTTTGTGTTCTGCTCTGGTTTTATCAAAATAATGTAACATTTAGGACCAAAAATACACACAAGCAAAGCGAAACTTGAGGCTAGAATAGCGAATACTTCTACAGCCACTGTGTATTTCCCAGGAGAACTGACATAAGCTGGAATGAATGCTATCCAGACCACACAAAATATAAGCATGCTGAAAGTTATAAACTTTGCCTCGTTGAAATTGTCTGGCAGTTTCCGAGCGATAAATGCAAGTACAAAGCATAAACAGGAGAGCAGAGCAATATATCCCGACACACAATAGAAGGCAGTTAAGGATCCCATGTCGCATTCAACAATAATAATTTCTCTGTAGTACATGTTGTTTTCAACGGGAAATGGAGGCGAGATGGTTAGCCAAAGGGTACACGTGAAACACTGAACAAAGGTCAGGGCAAAAATAGTCAAGCGTTGCTGTTTCGCACTGAACCACTTGAGCATCTTATTGTTGGGGCGCGAAGCTTTAAATGCCACCAAAACCACAATAGTTTTCCCCAAAACACAAGAGATGCACAGAACGAAAGCCACACCAAAAGCCGTGCGGCGTAACATACACGACCAGGCAGAGGGTTCACCCAAGAATGTCAGAGAACACAGAAAGCAAAGAGTCAGTGAGAGCAGGAGAAGCAGACTTAATTCTGAATTATTGGCCTTGATGATAGGGGAGCTTCTGTGCTTAAAGAAAAGAGCAGCGATAGCGAGAGTCAGGCAAACTCCAGTGATGGCGAGAGTTGCCAACACAGTACCCAGGATCTCTCCGTAAGAAAGAAATTCAACTTTCTTCTTCTCGCACTGGTCTTTGCCCTGGTTGGACCAGTAGCGGGGCGGACATGTCAGGCACATTATGGCATCTGCAAGGTAATAAAAATAACAGTCTATCAAAAAGGTATAGTTTCAAGCCTTTGATATTGGAGAGGAAGAGTTTTAACATAGAACGGATCCATCCAAGGCTCACCTGTGGTGTTACTTATTTCACCATCAGCACATTGTACACAGTCAAAACAGCAAATGGGTTGGCCTCTTTTGGAGACTTTTATTGTGCCTGGGAGACAACTTTCACTGCAAATCGCACGCGGCACCTTCAAAAGATAATGTATATAATTTATCAGATTCTACCACAAGCTCATGAGAGCTAATGTGTCCATCCACAATCCTAACCAAATGTGAATTAATAATAATAACCCTTACATTTGATACAGTCGTTGAGAAGTGAGAAGATGCTATATCAAGGCGCTTCACAGAATATACTGTAAAGTGACTGTATATTTTGTGGTTGAAACATGGCAGCAGTGTCCCACAAACAGTCGTGAATTGAGTGACCAAATTATTATTACTATTATTATTTTGAAGGGATATTACCCCCGGAAAAGCGATCCATCGATCGACTAATAATAATTGGTTTCCTACTTACCTCTAAGTAAACAGAGGCATGTGGAATAAGCTTTGAGTGAGTACTGTATTTCTACAGGCACACACGTTTCACTGTAAGGTATGATTTAAGTGAAGCGATGTAGTGTTACTACGTGGAAGACACTCAGTAAAAAAAATACACTTGCTGTTATCTAAAGAGGAGCTTTTATTTTTGACAGCAGAAAAAACTTTGAGAGATTGTTATTTTGAGCAACTCAAATCCAGAAAAGTTATTAATTAAGATGTAATAAAACCCCAGCTGGAAAACAAAGCCTGAGTCCCAGATGTTCTCAAAGTATTATTGTAATATGTAATGTCAATTTGAAGTGGGGATTTCAGGCAGTGACTAAAATGAATAACCTTCAATAATACAAACTAAATTACACAAAATATGCAGTTAATTCTCTTTATGGTATATTCGGTGAAGTTCTTTGAGACACTTTGAAGATGTGATAAGACGCTATTATCGAATGTGATTTTGTTGTTGCTGTTTATCAAATGCAAGGATTATTATTATTATTACAAACATATTGAGCAAATATATTAGCATTGATGAATGAAATACATATTGCAGTGAATCCCTTAATTTCTTGAATATCGTATCAAACTAGTTAACATTTGTGTCGATAGATTAAATGTATATTGCAAAGTATTCCTACTGTTTTTTGTTCAGTGGTCCAGGTGATAGATTCTTCATTGAACACAAGCTTTTCATCATTTGTTGAGGTTCCATTATAGTATCCAATTATTTTAATCTCAACAGTACCATTGACATTGGTTTGCCAATTTACCAAATCATATATAGCCACAGCATCACCATTTTCATCAAAATAGACGTGGTCTCCAGCCTTAGTTGTGAAGTGAACTGATTGCAAATTCTGAAGAACCTTCAGGATGACAGAACCGTTCAAAGTGAATAAGTAAGTAAAAAATAAAGCACAACTCGCCTACAGAATATGCGGTCAATTCATTTTGCAGTGTGTTCTGTGAAGTGCATTGAGATGCCTCGAAGACATGATAAGGCGGGATATCAAATGTAAGGATTAATATTATAAAAGTTACATTGACACCGATGTGTTTGGACAGAAAGAGATGGTTTATCCTTACCTGCCATGGTTCAAAATGAGTAATATTTGCACACGTGTCATTTGTGCTTGACCTTTTGGTGTTCTCACAAGAGAACATTTTGTGAAACGCATGGGCAAGAGCATAGGTTGCTTTGTATACATTGTACGAATTCCCTCGTAAGGCTCGATCCAGATATTTATCAGTGGCCTCCAGCAAGTTTTCTTCTCCTGAACACTGCTTGGGATATTTTTCCTGATCTGTAAAATTTTTGATTTTCAGAATGCAATCGAATGCTGTTTCCCAAAATTCCTCAATGACAAAGTTCCCAGGGAACAAAGTAGGGTGGATTTTCAGAAGAAAATCTTGAAGTCCTGTCACTTTCCTTCTGCGTATTGTAGGGCCAATTGTACCAACCAGAAACGTGGCACTTTCCTCAGGTGGCAACACCTGTGCTGTGACCCACGCCTCACTTCCTACCCACTGTAAATCTGTGACATTTTTATGGACAATTTCTTTCAGCAAAATTCTCATTTCTGTCACAGAAATAAAGGCTACAATGACCTTTGTGGTGGCTCCTTTAATCACCTCTACAATTTGGGACACTTTCTCTCTCGGGTCGGTTCTGTGGAAAGATTCAGCATATGCGATACACACTCCAAGCTTTTCCACCGACTTCACAAAGGCCTGCATCCCAAAACGGCCATAATCATTATTGCTTCTTATTGTCCCAATCCAAGTCCATCTAAACTTTTTGACGAGTTGAACTAAAAGTTCTGACTGATGGTAATCGCTCGGTATTGTTCTGAAAAACGAGGGATACTCTCGCCTGTTGCTCAGGCAGGAGCAGGTGGAATAGTAACTCACCTGTGGTGGAAATCAGATCAGTAATAAATAACTGATACATCATTGAGGTAATATTCAATGAACATTCGGTCAAATACACAATGTCTTTGAACCAGACAAACCTTTTTCAGTTGCTCATCCCTCAAGTGTTAGATGTTAAACACATTAATATCAAGTGCATAGCATTCATGGAAATTGAATCAATTCCAAATTAGTGGATTTCCATAGCAATGCCCATGTTAAGAGGACAGTTAATATGGCAAAGCCACATGTTGGCCTTCTAACGGTGCAATACAATATTCATTTCTTCCAATAGGAAACATTTGTTCTACTTGATGACCTTACACTTTGTACAAGGTACACAGTTGACACTTACCATTGGAATTCTAAAAGGCCCAATTAATCTAGCTACTGCTATGGACTGCGAGGATCCATCACAGCCAACAATAGCAGTGACTTTGTTGTGTGCTGGACACTTTAAATCAGATACTGTCTTGTCTTCTCCATTGACAAGGGCCAAAACTGCCTTTGTGGCAATTCTGGAGGAAATGCAGTCATCATAAATCCTGTATCCCAGGGTAATGTTTGGAAGCAATGTATTGCTGCGATTGATTTCTTCTATAGCAAATATCATGGTTTGGGCGAGGCGAAAGCTTCCTAAACTAAAGCTGCAAAACAGATATTTTGCATTAGGAGAGTTAGTTTTTCAGTTTAATACAACATTTTACTGCACTCTGAAATTTGTATAAACATAGCATGTTCTAAGCATGTTACTCCAATAAAGTATTCTAATTTGGTTCAGGAAATGGAAACAATTTGCTGTTATAGTGTGATACAATAAGAAATGGAAAGGTGCAATTATAGATTAAAACACTATTTTACATGTTTGAAACAATATAAATCTACATGAAGACAGTCTCACATTGGATCTGAATAAATATATACTAACCTTCTACAGTGGATTTCATCTGGTAATCTTGTATATGAATGACTCAGCTCATAACTGCCTGAATGCAGGTTAAAAATTCCTCCTAATATGATATCCCCATTTTTGGATAACTCAGCTATTCTGGGATGTGCTTGAAGTTTGCAGACTTGATTATCTATGCCAGATACTGGCAATATTATTAATAATCCCAACCACACAAGGCTGTTCATTGCAATATTTAAGACGACTTGTGCCAGGTTTTCCCCAAACTTACTGAGCTAATCATAAATTCTTTTATTCACTGTCTTGCTTGGTATGGTGATCTTATATAGCTCTGAACTCTAAAAAAAACAATAAGCTTTCAATTCCCACAAGAGAGTAATGCTCATAATGGAAGCATATAATTTGTTGTGGAACAGAGACTGGAAACAATTGCATGGTAGGTATATAACTAAATTAATTTATTATTGATACTTTGCTGTATATCTTAAATTAAATCATGGTATAGCATTTATAAATCCAATTATCAACTGATTTTCTGTAAAGAGCAGAGGTTTTCTGTGATGACTTTCATTTTGCTGAATGAGTGTAATAGCGAGCAAATAAATGAAATTAATTGAAGGTTGACAATGTTCCAGCAAGTGTGTGCGTATGTATATAAATCTATATACATTTGCAGTGGATGAACCTAATAGTACGGTAATAGATTATTTTAACCCCCATGACTAAGCAGGAAGAATGAAGAGAGGCAATATAATAATACTACTACTACCTTGCATTTGATACAGCGTCTTATCATGTTTTCGAGATGTCTCAAAGCACTTCACAAGATATACTGTAAAGTGAATTTGACTGTGTATTTTGTGGAGAAACACGGCAGCCAATTGTGCTAAATGGTACAATTTTAAAGAGGGTGCAGGAAAAGAGAGACATTGAGGTTCACATATACAAATCTTTGAAGTGGCAGGACAAGTTGACAAAGCTGTTGAAAAGCAAATGGGATCCTTGAGTTTATAAATAGAGGCATAGAGCACAAAAGAAAGAAAGTTATGCTAAAACTTTATAAATCACTAGTTAGGCCTCAGATGAAGTATTGTGTCCAATTCTGGGTACCACACTTTAGGAAGGATGTCAGGGCCTTGGAAAGGGTGTAGAGGAGATTTATTAGGATGGTACCAAGGATGAGGGACTTCCATTATGTGGGGAGACTAGAGAGGCTGCGATTGTGCTCCTTAGAGCAGTGAAAGTTGAGGAGGTATTTAATAGAGGTGTTCAAAATTATGAAGGGTTTTGATAGAGTAAATAAAGAGAAACTGTTTCCTCTGGTAGGGGGGTTGGTAACCAGAGGACACAGATTTAAGATAATTTGAAAAAGAACTAGAGCGGAGATGAGAAGTTTTGTTTTTACCCAGAGAGTTGTTATGATCTGGAATGCACGGCCTGAAAGGGTGGTGGAAGCAGATTCAATAATAATTTTAAAAAGGTAATTGGATATAGACTTGAAAAGGAAAAAAATTGCAAGGCTATGGGAAAAGTGCGGGGAGTGGGACTCTTTCAAATAGTGGCACAGGCCAGATGGGCCGCATGGCCTATTTCTGTACCGTAAGATTCCATGATTCTATGAGTATCTAATTACATATGCACCTCTTTTTTTTGTGTGTTACGGCACAGAAGAAGGCCATTCAGCCCATCGAGTCTGTGCGGCTCTTTGACAGAACAACTGACTTTTATTAACCCCACTCACCAGCTTTCTCCCCTGCAAACCTGTCTTCTCCAGATACCTGTCCAGTTCTCTCTTAAAAGTTGTTATCGACTCAGACTTCACTGCCCTTTCGGGCAGATCATTCCAAATTCTAACAACTCGCTGAGTGAAAAAAATTATTTTAACCTCCCCTCTGCTTCTTTTGGTAGATATCTTAAGACTGTGACCACGAGTCACAGACACACCTACCAGCGGTAACAGCTTTTCCCTATCTCGCCTGTCGAAACCTTTCATGATCTTGAAGACCTCTATCATGTCCCCGCGTAACCTTCTCTACTCTAAAGGGAAACGTCCTACCTTCTCCAGCCTGTCCTCATAGCTAAGGTTCCCCATTCCTGGTATCATTCTCGTGAATCTCCTCTGCACCCTTTCCAGTGCCTTAATGTCCTTCCTGAGGTACGGTGCCCAGAACTGGACGCAGTACTCCAGCTGAGGCCTAACCAGTGTTTTGTACAGATTAAGCATAACCCCTCTGCTCTTATACTCTATGCCCTACTAATGAAGCTCAGTACATCAAATGCCCTTTTTACTGCCCTATCTACCTGCTCTGCCACCTTCAATGAATCGTTTACTTGAACGCCCAGATCTCTCTGTACGTTCACCCCCCTTAAGATTGAGCTCCCAAGTCTATATTGCCTCCTATCATTTTTCCTACCTAAGTGTATCACCTCACACTTATCTACATTGAAATCCATCTGCCACATGTCAGCCCATTCCACCATTCTGTGTATGCCTCTTCCCAGGCATTTGATCTAACAATAACTTATATAGAGCCCTTTATGTGAGGTAGTGGAGTACGAAGCCCATAAAATAAAAATAAAAACAGGCACTAGAGGATCATAGAATTAAACAACACAGAAGGAGGCCATTCAGCCTATGATGTCTGTGCCGGCTCTTTGATCCCTAATAGGACCCACCCAACCATTGATTAACTTTTTATTCTTTATATGCTCATAAAATACCTTAGGGTTCCTTTTTATGTTACTGGCTAATATTTTCTCATACAATCTCTTTGCCCCTCGTATTCGTTTTTCAGTTCTCCTCTGTACCTTCTATATTCTATTTGATTATCTTCTGTATTTTGGAATCAACATTTATCATAAGCCTCCTTTTTCTGTTTTATTTTAATCCCAATTTCCTTGGTCATCCAGAGAGGTTTGGATGCCCTACCTTTCCCCTTTGTGTGAATGCATTTGTTCTGCCCCTGAACTATCTCCTTCTTGAAGGCTTCCCATTGCTCGTTAGCTGTTTTACCTGCCATCCTTTCTTTCCAGTCCACCTTGGCTAGGTCCCTTTCTAACTCACTGAAATTAGCCTCTTCCAGTTGAGTATCTTCACCTTTGATATCTTTGATACCTTTGATATAAATGTCCGTTTCCATCAGTACTCTAAACCCACTGATGTTATGATCATGGTTGTCCAGATGTTCTCCTACTGAAACCTGCTCCACTTGCCCCACTTTATTCCCCAGAATTCGATCCAGCACAGCTTCCTTCCTTGTTGGGCTGGAAACAAACTGATCCAGAAAGTTATCCTGCACATTTCAGAAAGCCTTTCCCCCTATTTCCCTTTACACTTTTTTTATTTTGTCAGTCTATGTTAGGATAATTGAAGTCCCCCATTCTTACTACTCATTGGTTTTGCATCTTTCTGAAATCTGCTGCAGATTTGCTCCTCTAACTCCTTCACAATATTTGGTGATCTATAGTATTGACCTAACAGAGTAACAGCTCCTTTTCTGCTCCTTAACTAACCAAACAGATTCTGTTTTTGGACCCTCTACCACACCATCCCTTTCCAGAGCCGTAATTGTGTCTTTAATCAATATTGCCCCCTCCCTTCCTTTTCTTTCCTGCCAGATCTCTCCTGAATAGATTGTAGCCAGGATATTCAGCTCCCATTCTTATCCTGTTTGAGCCAGGTCTCCGTTATTGCCACTACATCATAACTCCATGTGGCAACTTGAGCCACAGCTCACCAACCTTATTTGTCACACTCCGTGCATTTACGCACATGCACTCCAAGACCGACTGATTCTGCTCTGCATTTCTCCCCCGTCTAATCCCTCCTTTTTCTGGATTACTCCTTATTACATTGCTATTCATCTCTCCCAGCCCTCTATGTAACTCGTTGGTCCTCTCTGATGCGACATGCTCATTCTCTTACCCCCTCAGAATTAGTTTAAACACTTCCCCACAGCACTAGTTAACCTCCCTGCGAGGACATTGGTCCCAGCCCTGTTCAGGTGTAACCATCAACCTTGTACAGGTCCCACCTGCTACAGAACTGGTCACAATGATCCTGAAGCCCTCCTTTCTGCACCATTTCTCCAGCCATGCATTCATGTGTTTGATCCTGCCCTGTTGATCTCACTTGAACTAGGGACTGGGAGTAATCCAGAGATCATCACCTTTGAAGGTCCTACTCTTTATTTCCTCCAGCTTTTGACACTTTCCCTGTAGGATCTCAGCCATTTTTTTCCCTATGTCATGGATCCCAGCATGGACCACGACTTCTGGAGAATGCAGTCTTTCTGAAGCGCTTTGATACATTTTCCCTAATGAAAACCATTATAAAATTTCAAATTGTACAACAACAAATTGTAATAATTAAAGTACTTGTTTTTGACTAAAGAGGAACAGTATATGAGAAAAATATCTATAGGTTTATCCTCCAGAAAAAAATAAATTATGACACGAAATGTATAACTAAAGCCACTTCACACCTTTATCGTGTGAGTTAGTCCAGTTGTTGCTACTTTGTTAACCAAGTTGTGAGGTGTCACAACTGAATAATTGCAGCCCAAGATGATTGGTTAGGACAGGGAGAATTTAACGCCCTCATGAGAAAGCCTTCAACATATGTTATTCATACAGATTTTTGTAAAGATTTCATACATTCTTATCAGCGTGATTTAACTTTAAAAATCATCCTGTAGAGATGACAAAAGTTACCTTCTCCATGGTTTTCTATTAAACAGGAGTCAGGGATATGAGGAAGATCTATGGTGTGTGATTGTTCAATATCTGCTATCAAGATGTCGCAGGGGTGACATATTTTATTTGTAGGCCACCTGGAAGCAATCTTCAGAGCAGTTATTTTTCCTTCTCCACATCTGGTCCCTGACCAAGCCCTCCTTCCTCCACCTCCACCAAATCGCCCAGCTTCACCCCTCCCTTTCTTCAAATGCTGCTGTTTTGGAAAGTGAGTGGGAGATCTGCAGAACCATATGTGGGTGATGAATTATTGACCCATTTAGTATTCAAACTGTTTATAATGGTGCAGAATACAAAGAGGAGATCTTTTGTAAGGTTATTAACTGTTTGTACTCCTTGGACTACTGTACTCTTTATCGCTGTTGTCCTCCAAGTCCCATAGATGACCTCAACAAGTTGATCAATCCTTGATCAAGTCCTGCAGCTCAGGTGTCAGATCGAAGAGCTCACCACAAAAAAGACGGTTAACTTCTTCTTTAGCTTTGCCATGTATCACCTCATAGCCAGTTCCCTCTCATTAGACATCACTCAGGAGAATAGTCACGATAGAATCATGGAAACTTACAGCACAGAAGAAGGCCATTCGGCCTATCATTCCTGTACCGGCTCTTTGAAAGAGCTATCAACTCGTCCCACTCCCCAGCTCTTACCCCATAGAATTGCAATTTTTTCCTTTTCAAGTACATATCTAATTCGTCAGTGTTGGTCATCGAAAAAATTGTAGCTTGTGGTGCAAGGCTTCAGCAGTAGTTGCTGAAAAAATTTTAAACGATAAACATTTAACTAAAATGATGAAAACGTAATTCATTCTAGAATAAAAAATTAAATCTATCATATATATGTGTGATATATATATATCTATAAATATTCAGTATATCCTAAAACTAGATATCACATCATACCTTGTCACAATGTTAAAAACTAATAATTAAGATTTAGGTGAAGGAACTTTACCCATGATGTGTTTTTTTGTATTGCATTCTGGTTTCAATAAAACCACATAACATTTCGGAGCAAAAATGCAAACCAATAAACCAAAGCTGGATGCTAAAATTGCGAACATCTCCACAGCCACAGTGTATTTCCCTGGAGAGCTGACATAAGCTGGGATAAACGTTACCCAAACAGCACAGACGATCAGCATGCTAAAGGTTATATATTTGGCCTCATTGAAATTGTCTGGCAGTTTTCGGGCTAAATACGCTAGAATAAAGCTTACACAGGACAACAAGGCAATATATCCTGACACACAATAGAATATTGTTGTAGACCCGGCATCACATTCCAAAATAATAATGTTTCTGTAGTAATTGCCGTTTTTCAATGGAAAAGGCGCTGCTTGACTTAACCAGAGAGCACACAGCAAAATCTGAATAAATGTGAGGGCAAAAATACTGAATCGTTGTCGCCCGAGTCCAAATAATTTGACCCTATTATTATTGGGAAACTTTGTCTTAAATGCCATCAATACAATGATAGTTTTCCCCAAAACACAAGAAATGCACAGGACAAAGGAGATCCCAAATGAAGTGCGTCGTAGCATGCAAGACCAAACCGAAGGTTGACCAATGAAAGTGAGCGAACACAGGAAACACAGTGCTAATGCAAACAGGAGGAGGAAACTCAGTTCAGAATTGTTGGACTTAACAATAGGAGTGTCCTTGTATTGGAAGAAAACAGCTGCAATGGCGACAGTGAGACCCACTCCTACTATGGCCAGTGATGTTAATGCAATCCCTATGTTCTCGTCGAATGTAAGAAACTCTATCTTCTTTGGTATGCATTCATCCCTCCGCTCATTTGACCAATATTCCCACGGGCACTTTAAGCAGAAGAGAGAATCTGAAATAAAGTTATAAAGTTGTACATAAAATTAAAATTTAGCAGTGAAGAGAGTCATATATTTACACAATTTCATCAAACACTCACCTGTTGTGTTGCTGATTTCACCGTCTGCACACTGTGTGCAGTCAAAACAACAGATGGGTTGTCCCTTCCTCACGGTTTTTCTTGATCCAGGTTGGCATCTCTCACTGCAGACTGCTTGAGGAACCTGCACAGAGAGAAGATCTATATATTGTGTTCAATTTCCAGGATTGGTCAATTTTTGGTCAGCTGGGTGTCTGACACATGTGGAAACCCATCACCATGCTTAAGAGTATCCAAACCAAGCTGAGAATTCGATGTATCCCACCCACACATAGAAATCCCAGAGATAGATTGTTGGAATGTAATATGCTCTCTCTCTCTCCATGGGGGGCACATCCTGTTTACCTAATTCTGGAAAGTATTAGGCACAGGTTGGCAAGAGCCAGGGCTTGGGAACCCCAGAGTCTGTGTTGGTGCAAATGCTGGAATATATACATATCCTGTCATTGAGGTTGCTGCTCTCAAAGCATGCTGGACTTTCAGGCCCACTGCCCTGCCCTCTCCCCATACCCATTCCAGTCTCTACCTTCCCTCTTCAAATCAAAAATCGACTCTGGCTCTACCCCTTTAATTGGCAGGACATCAACATCCCAACAACTCTCTGAACGAAACCAAATAAACAAATCCCACCCCTCCTTTCACTCTTCTTCTGGCTATCACCACTGACCAGCCCATTGCTTTAATTTATTTCATATATTAATTACCACTTGTGATATTCTGATATTCCAAAACATCTGCACACAAAATGGGACTGACTTTTACCTCAAGTCCATACCTTATTGCTGCCACTGCTCCACATCACATGTTCCTCATCCAGTGTGAGTTGTTGTCCTGAAGGGGCAGCTCCATTGTAATAACCCACTTTCACAATCTCAGCAGAGCCATTGACATTAATTTTCCAGTTTATCAAATCATAAGTGGCAACTGGATCCCCATTGTTATCAAAGTTCACTCTGTCACCTGTCCTCGTGGTGAAGTTTACCAAACGTATAAAATCAAGCAACTGTGAGAAGAGAATTGGAACGAGATAAATTCCAAATTAATTTACAAAACCAATGGTAGAAATACTCACATGCACATATACACACACACCCACACACACACATACACTCACACATAGACACACATACACACACAGATAATATTAGCATTATGTAAGACTTCAGCCAAAGGACACTTTTATCCTGAAATCATTGTGGGCATTAAAGTTAATGATGAATTTGAACAACACAAAATATACACTTTTCAATATATTCTGTGAAGTGCTTTAAGACATTTCAGTTACGTGATAAGGCGCTACATCAAATGCAAGGATTATTATTATTTCTGTCACATTTCACTCAGTAAATCTCACATGTTAGATTTTGGTAACAGATAGCTTACCTGCCATCGTTTTAAATTTGTAATGTCTGCACATGTTTTATTATTCTTTTGTTCTTTGCCTTCGCTGCACAGCAACATGTTATGAAGTGCATGAGCATACACGTAGACAGCTTTATATACATTGTAAGAACTACCGTCCAATGTTATATCTGAATATGTGCTGCTTTTTTCTTCTAGATTTTCGTTTGTTGTACATCTATGGATTGGAGCTTCAGTGTTTGACCGTGTTTTCGAGTGGTCTTCCCTTAGAATACATTTGAACATTGTTTCCCAAAATTCGTAGACTAAAATATTGTCAGGAAACAAAGAAGGGTGAACTTTAAGAAGATATTCTCTTAGTCCTGATATGTGGAACCGAGGGATTGCAGGCCCAATGGTCCCAACTAGAAACCTGGTACTTTGCCATGAAGGGAGGAGTTCTGCTGTAACCCAGGCTTCACTTCCTAGCCACTGTATGTCGCTCACATTTTGGCGCACAACTTCCTTTAGCAAAAATAGCATGTCTCCCGGAGAAACAAGTGCCACCACAACCTTTGTCGACCCTTTTTTAATTGTGTCTACAACTTTGGCAATTTTTTCTACAGAGTCGGTTCTGTAGAAGGACTCCGAGTAGGCGATGCAAACTCCCAGCTTCTGAACAGCTTCCAAAAATGCTTGTATCCCAAATCGACCGTAATCATTGTTGCTGCTCACTGTCCCAATCCACGTCCATCCAAACATCTGAACAAGTTGCGCTAAAAGTTTAGACTGATGGGAATCGCTTGGTATCGTTCTGAAGAAGGTAGGGTATTCTTCAATGCTGCTGAGACACGTACAGGTGGAAAAGTAACTGACCTATCAGCAACAAAATAAAGGTAAAGTGCAGAAAAAGTAAATCTGATTATAATGAAAGAAAATGCGCTCAGTGTGCAGTGATCATAATCATTAGGAATTGGCAAAGCACCTTCATGGTTTTACTAGATAAATTCATCTAATAATAATAACAATAATCCTTGCATTTGATATAGCAGCTTCACATCATCCCAATGTCTCATAATATCAATATTTTATTTAAGCAAACATGTTATTTGCAATAGACTATATTATAATAATAATAATAATAATAATCCTTGCATTTAATATAGCGCTTTTCACGTCAGGAGGACATCCCAAAGCGCTTCACAGAACATACTGTAAAGTGAATTGACTGTATATTTGTGGGCGAACGCAGCAGCCAATTGCGCACAGCAGTGTCCCACAAACAGCTGTGGATTGAAAATTACCAATTTATTATTGGTTTTGGTTTGGGAGGGATTATTATTAGGCTCTGTGTGGAGTAAGGACACTTGCCCAAGGTTTCGCCCTCTGCCTGGGATTGAACTCAGGTCTCTCACTTGCAAAGCGAGCGCTCTAACCACTGAACTACAGGACTCCACAATATTGCATTAAATGTGCAGATAATTATGTATTATTTATTACAATAGAAATACAACATTACCATCGGAACTTGAAAAGGACCAATAACTCTTGCTACTGCAATAGACTCAGAGGATCCTTGTGTCCCAACGATCCCGATGACATTAGATTGTCCTGTGCAAGAATAACCCAAACCGGTTTCCTGCCCATTAACAAGAGCTAAGGCCGCTTTTGTCACAATCTTGGATGACGCACAATCATCGTGGATCCTGAATCCCAGTGTGACATTTGGCAACAGGAGGTGATTTCTGTTGATTTCTTCGATGGCAAAAATCATGGTCTGAGCCAAGCGAAAGCCTCTGAAATCAAACCTTTGGAGTTACACAAATTATTAGCATCATGGAATGAGATCACCTCTTTTGGTTATCTTATGAAAATGGTTTCTAAGACATAACATCAATGACATTACAAGGGTTGTATAACTACCAAAGTTATTTCAATTTGACAACATACCATTGATGCATAGACACAGGTTGGTGAATTGGTAGTTCAGTGATTTACCTCATTGCAATTACACATTGGATTTGGGTTCTCAAAGGTTAATCAATTGCGTCTTTCCATCTGTTATATTAAGACTGGTGCAACCTTCAGTTTCTTACATCTGTGGATCTGGAATGGAAATCTGACTGATTTAATTTCAAGTCTTGCACCGTGTAGCCAACAGAAGGGAACCTCAACAACCATAGACACATTTATGGGGTGCGGATCTGACTAACCTATTACAATAACAGATTGGAAATGGCATTATTTTTATCTTCCGTATTATGTATGATCAAGGTGGTGAACTGCCAACGCTGTCAACTAAACGCGTTTCGTCCACATAATATGCAGTCAATTCACTTGACAGTATATTCTGTGAAGTGCTTTGAGACATCTAAAAGACGTGAAAAGTGCTATATCAAATGCAAGGATTATTATTTATTATTATTATATTTAAGTTAGTCTCAAAATGCTTAAAGGTCTTGAAGAATTACTTAATTTTCAGAATCATTTACTAATACAATCAATCAATGTATATTGGGTGATGAATTCATAACTACAATGTTTACATTTATACATTTTAAAAGTATATTTCAAAATCTCGTATGATTTACTCATCATAACTTAATATTTTATTTCCCTGGGTCTTACAACATAAAAACTGTGAGACAAAAGAAGACCAAGGTCCATCCAGTTCGCCTTCTCCCCTGCCTGGCAGTCACATTCACATGTCATGTCCCAAACTATATACTGTAAATGGCAAAATGTGTGATTTCATCAAAACCATTCAATTAATTAAAATTGTACGGAAAAATATATGTCAACTGACCGTTTGCACTGTTCTGCTTTTGGCCGGACAGTAAAGGAATGCACATTCTCAACCCTGTCCATGTGCAAGTTAAAAAGTCCCCCCAGAATGATGTCTCCGTCCTTTGACAGTTCAGGTAAATCGAACTTCCCTTGAAGTTTACAACTATGTTCACCGCTTCCCCATCCAGCCTCAAGTCTGAGCAATTCTAACAGGAAAAAGAAAAACATATTTCCCACATACATTTACTATTTACGTCAATCAGAAGTTGCAGTTATCCGAGCAGACAAGTTCAATTGTCCAATATATGCGTCACCGTATGTGTGTTTTATATTGTACTACAGCGGGGCTTTCTGGGAATTGCCGCCTTTGATGCAATTCAGTGGAAGGTAATTTGGAGATTATTTAAAATCCCAGTAGAATATAATTTCCTATGTGCTTCTGGAAAATTAACTGTCAGCTGTAACGATTGTGGCCAAGTATCTTAGTGTATCTCATCAGGGATTTCCCCTCTGCATAATCATGGAAGCAACTTTTTAAATTATCCTTTATACCATTTGGGATTGTGATGGTTAGTTGTTCTACACACCAATTATTGTTTTGTTATTTTTCTTTCAAGTACACTTTTTGGACAACTTTTCTCAATTAATTAATAATAATTGCAGTTGACATCGCACCTTATTACATCGAAACGTCTCAAAGTGCTTCACAGAATCATAGAATGATAGAATCATAGAATTATACAGCACAGAAGGAGGCCATTCGGCCCATCGTGTCTGTGTTGGCTCTTTGAAAAGAGCTATCCAAATCAACCCCACTCCCCCGCTCTCCCCCATAGCCCTGCAAACTTGTCTTCCCCAAATAATTATCCACTTCTCTCTTAAAAGTTGTTATCAGGCAATGCATTCCAGATCCCAACAACTCGCTGTGCGAAAAAATGCTCCTCACCTCGCCTCTGTTTCCTTTATCAACTATTTTAAATCAGTGTCCTCGGGTAACCGACCGACCCGCCAGTGGGAATAGTTTCCAGTTGTTCACTCTATCGAATCCCCTCATGATTTTAAAAAACTTCTATTAAGTCGCTTCTTAACCTTCTCTGCTCCAAGGAGAATAATCCCAGCTTCTCCAGCCTCTCCTGATAACTGAAGAATATTCTGTAAAGTGAATTGATTGTATATTTTGTGGGCGAAACACGGCATCCAATTGCACACAGTAGTGCCCCACACAAACAGTCGTGGATTGAGTGGCCAAATTATAATTTTGAAATGTATTTTTGAAGGGATATTTCCCCCGGAAAGGCCATCAACCAAACAACTAACTTACTGCTGGATAAACAGAGGGTGTGGGGTAAGCAAACTTGCTTAATTTTGCTGGCCCCGGAATCGAACCCAGGTCCTCTCTTGCAAGACGAGTGTTCTAACCAGTAAGTTACAGGACTCCACAATTACACACAATCAGTTTATTGCAATAGAGGGAGCAGGGGAAAGGAATATACATAATATTTTGAACATATGTTGACATAGAAATATTAAATTGTCACAATTTTTTTTAGAAAGAAGCAATAGGTAATAAAAGCTGTTGAAAAATCAGCTTCAGTGGCGCGATCCAAACCTTCAGGATAGTAAGGTTAGATCTTCATAAGCTCTACCTTGTTTCTGTGGAATAGATGTTCTTGGAAGCTTTATTGTCCAATTGAAAATGATTCTTTAAAATGCATGAAACTACATTGTATTTCTCTAACAAATGCTTTTTTGTCACATTTCCAGTGCCATATAGCATGTTCTCTCTTTACAATCAATACTTGAATAGATTTTGAAATTAACATGCTTGTATTGCCTTTATTGAAAGGTAGCATTCATAATACCCGAATCATGTGAATAATACATATGAAACCATATTAAAAGAATTAAAAGTATTTAACTAGTGAATAAAATCACATGATTATGCATTTCCAAACAAGACACTTGTTACAAAAATGATTATGTGTTTCTCATATAATGAATTGATTAAAGCTTCTTTGAAGGATCTTTGGACATGATATACTGTCTTGTATTGTTTTCTGGTTTCAGCAAGATTATGCGACATTTTGGAACAAAAATGCAGAGAAGCAAACCGAAGCTGGATGCCAAAATAGCAAACACTTCTACAGCCACAGTATATCTCCCAGGCGAACTGACATAAGCTGGAATGAAAGCCATCCAAACTGTGCAAAAAATAAGCATGCTGAAAGTTATACACTTAGCCTCATTAAAATGATCTGGCAGATTCCTGGCTAGGAATGCAAGAATAAAACACACAGCAGACAAAAGACCAATGTAGGTCGATACACAGTAAAATGCTGTTATAGATCCAACATCACATTCTAAAATAATAATGTCCCTGTAGTACTTGATGTTTTTTACAGGGGAAGGGGGTGAGAATGTTAACCATAGAGCGCAGATTAAACTCTGAATAAGTGTGAGAAGGAAAACACTTAATCGTTGCTGTGTGGGTCCAAACCATTTCATCATGTTATTATTGGGAAGCGTTGCCTTAAAGGCCATTAGAACCAGGATTGTTTTTCCCAAAATACAGGAGATGCACAAAACAAAAGCAATACCGAAAGACACGCGGCGAAGCTTGCAAGACCACATTGAGGGTTCACCAATAAATGTGAGAGAGCACAAAAAACACAGAGTCAATGCAAACAGAAGAAGGAAGCTCAACTCAGAATTGTTCGCCTTAACAATAGGGGTATCTCTGTGCTGATAGAAGATAACTGTTGTTGTTAACGTTACGCCGATCCCTACCAATCCAATCGTAACTAGTACAATTCCCAGCATCTCTTCAAAGGAAAGAAACTCAATTTCTTTTTGTATGCATTTATCTTTCCTCTGATTGGTCCAATATTCCAAAGGGCACTTGATGCAATCCAACGCATCTGAGAGAAATAATATAATTGGTGAACGTCAGTACTGTACAAACTTTAAGCTATCTGGGCAAACGTTCGGAAAGACGAACTTGAAAATAATGTGCTAGATTAAACCATACCTGTGGTGTTACTGACCTCACCATCAGCACATTCTGTGCAGTCAAAACAGCAGATCGGTTGTCGCTTCCTGTGGACCTTCCGGGTGCCGGGGAGGCAGCTCTCTGCACAAACTGCACGTGGGATCTTACCGTGATTAAATTGATATAAACGTGTTTGTTATGTATGCAATATTACACCTTTCAATACATTATGAATAAACATAAAGTTTGTAAATAGATAGCATTGCACATCACGCCAATAATCCTTGTATTTATAATAATCCCTGCATTTGATATAGCGCCTTATCACATCTTTGAGATGTCTCAAAGCGCTTCACAGGATATACTGTAAAGTGAATTGGCTGTGTGTTTTGTTGATGAAATGCGGCAGCCAATTGCACACAGCAGCGTCCCACAAACAGTTGTGGATTGAGTGACCAAATTATTTATTTTAAAAAAATTTGAAGGTATTATTATCCCCGGAAAAGTGATCCACCAATTGACTAGCAACTGGATTCCTGCTTACTGCTAGGTAAGCAGGGGCATGTGGACTAAGGAAACTTGCCTAAGGTTTCACTCCACCTCGCCCTGCCCAGGAATCAAACCCAGGTCCTCTCGCCTGCGAGGTGAGTGCTCTAACCACTGAGCTGGAGAACTCCACATTTGGTTTTGAACACACGGAAGACTTAATTTTTCTTTCACATATCTACCTTATTATTGCCACCATTCCATTCTAGTTTCCTTATATTTAGCATCAATTCTTTCCCGGGAGGTGTGGAAGCATCGTAATAGCCCACAGTCACAATCCTTGGAAAGCCCTGTGTGTTGCTTTGCCAGTTTATCAAGTCATACTTAGCGACTGGATCCCCATTTGAATCGAAATAGACTTTGTCACCAGTGTTAGTGGTGAAATTTACTGACTGCATATAATGTCGCAGCTGAAAAAGATAAGAAAGTGGTCTTTATCTGACCATGCAGCATGGGCAAACTTTAAAATAAAATGTTTCATCAGGTGTACATATACACTACCCTTAAATTCTTTATTGCAAGATTAACAATATAATTTCATTTATATAGTGTAGCAACTTCACCTAGTAATCTCTCAGAGCGCTTTACAGAAACAATGACAATGATTAATATGGTGACCAAACAAAGATTGTATGACATTATGTTTGACAAGCAACAAACAATGTAATAACTAGAATCAATACATTGGAAAGTCAGTGCTTCATATTTGGTGCTCAAAATGCGTTTACCTGCCAAGGTTCAAAAATAGAAACATTTGCGCATGTTTTATTCGTAAACGGGCCTTTTCCGTATTCACATGCCAACATGTTGTGCACAGCATGAGCAAAGGCGTACACCGCCTTATAAACATTATAGGAGCTTCCATCAGTAATTATGTCAGAATATGCATTGTGTATTTCATTCAAATTCTCATTTCCTGTGCACTGTTGATATGGTGATAAATCATTTGGTTCCTTTGTTGTTTTGGCAGACGATAGAGTGCAACTGAATGTTGTTTCCCAGAATTCCTTTACTAAAGCATTTCCAGGGAATTTCTGCGGATGGACTTTCATAAGGAAATCTCGTAATCCCACCACTGCTGTCCTTTGAATGGCAGGGCCCATTGTCCCAGTGAGGAATCGATTGCTTTCATCTGGAGAAAGCAGTTCTGCTGTAACCCAGGCTTCACTACCAATCCACTGGATTCCCGTGACGTTTTGACGTACAACTTCCCTAAATAAAAGCCGCATTTCTCCCGTAGCCGAAAAAGCCACCACCACTTTTGTTGTTGACCTTTTAATAACTTCTACGATTCTTTCTATCTTCTCTCTGGGGTCTGTCCTAGAAAAGGACTCAGAGAAAGCTATGCAGATTCCCAGCTTCTCTACAGCTTCTATAAACGATTGCATCCCGAAATTACCATAGTCATTGTTGCTTCTGATGACTCCAATCCAAGTCCATTCAAACGTTTTAACAAGTTGAGCTAAAAGTTTAGATTGATAGTAGTCACTTGGTATTGTTCTATAAAAGGCAGGATATTCCTTTCTGTTACTGAGACATGCGCAGGTAGAAAAGTAACTGATCTGTGGAAAATTTATATATTTTTAAAAAAAATGTAAGTGCTACATAGTGTAAAGTTAACAGCTTAGAATATCTGAATTAAATGTAACATGTAGTAATAATAATCCTTGCATTTGATACCAAGTGCCTTATCATGTCATTGAGATATCTCAAAGTGCTTCACAGAATACACTATAAAGTGAATCAACTGTATACTTTGTGGATGAAACCTGCAGCCAATTGAAGCAATATTAGTAAAATGTAGTAACATCAAACATGTTACTGCCATTGCACTCGAACTTGAGGTCCCAACATGGGAAGCACTTATTTGTTTTGATTTTACCTGTTATAAATAGACAATATACATGAATAGAAAGCTAAGAAAATTGCCAGTAGAAGGGGGAAAACATTCATTCCATTTTTTCTCTGCCAAATGAACCAGGGGAATTCACATTCCAGAAGTAAGCCATTTGGCACATTGTGACTCAAATAATAATAATAATCCTTACGTTTGATATAGTGCCTTATCACGGCTTTGAGATGCCTCAAAGCGCTTCACAGAATATACTGTAGAGTGAATTGACTATATATTTTATGGGTGAATAATGATTTCTGAACCCTAATAACAATAAAGAAATTCTCCCTTCATGTTTAACCTAGAGAGCATATGTCTCCCTTGTTACTGATTCTCTAGCAAAAAGAAAAATGTGTACCATGTATCCTGTCATACGTCTTCCGTATGACCAAAACTTCTGCCTTGCTCGCCCTCAAGCATTTCTGTTGCAGTGGAAAAAGTTCACCTTTTCTCTGTATGTAAATTGTCTAAAACCCACTACAGTTCTGACAAACTTGTGTTTGAAGTTCATCAACTTCTCTATGAAACTCTAGTGTAAACATAAACAAGTGATAAAGAACACTGCCACAAAAGATCACAGCTTACCAATGGGATTTTAAAGAGTCCAATTGTCCTTGCTACTGCGATTGATTCTGAGGATCCACCTCCGCCAACAAGAGCTGGTATCTTCGGAGAGTTGCTGCAGTTATTAAAGGAAAAGCTTTCTTCCATCCCATTAACAAGTGCCAAAGCTGCTTTTGTAGCAATGGTTGATGATGAGCAGTCATCCAGAATCCGATAGCCCAGAGTGAGATTTGGAAGGAGGTTTTGGTTCCTGTTTATTTCTTCGATGGCAAAGATCATAGTCTGTACAAGACGAAAAGATCTGAAATCAAAACTGTAGGACAGACAAAAACAGTTTAAAAGAAAACTATAGAAATTTAAGGTATCCTATATATGTCCTAATATTTAACTAAAGACACAATATTATCAATGTTCTAAAAAAGATTCAATAAGAGATAAGTCGGAGATCTATGATAGATCAGGAGGATTGGCTATACAAGTTATTTTTTTCGGGGAAAAGGAATTTGAAGAATTTAGGATTTAGAAAATTTGGATTAGAAGTGATTTCTGTAAAGAGATATATTAAATATGAATCCTTTAAGGAAGCTGGGTGGGTGGGAAAGATGAACTGATGGTCTAATGGTCTACGCCTTACTAGAATTGTTTGAGGATATAGTCATACATGTAATCAGTGAATGAGTTTTTGATCTGCAGTATTTCTATCCAAATAATTTCCTACTCTACACATCATTATCCCCAGCAATACCAATTTTACCAACTTGCAAAATAAAGCATGATCTTTCTTGAAGAATGCGTGTATTGATTAAACGGTATCTGTAACAGGTAATATTGATAACACTATCTGCTATCTGGTGGTTTGCAATGTCATGGGTCATATATCGGTGGAAAATTTATTGTTAAATGTTAGTCGAACAGTTAAAACATTCAATGCAGGTGGATGCAGCAGATTTGTAATAAATAACCAAGCCCATATATTGTTAGACTTATTGTTGGGAAGGCTGATGGGGGTCCCATTGTATGTCACCAACATATGGATAACTTAGCTTAATTTATAAGCACAGTGAGTGCACAGTGCAGGATCTTTATTAATTTAATTGGAAATTCAATTTAAAGATAGTTTGCTCATTTTAAAATATCTTTTTCAGTACTGTTACTCAACACACCTCAGTTTACCTAGCAGCAAGTAGGCACACGGTTGTTAGTACACTGGCAGATTGCTCTCTGGGGGTAATAATCCGTTAAAAGAATGTGGTCATTCAATCCACTACTGTTTGTGGGACATTGCTGTGCCCAATTGGTGTCATGTATCGCCCGCAAAATACACAGTCAATTTATTAAAGTATATTCTGTGAAGCTCTTTGAGACGTTTCAACGATGTGATCAAATGCAAGAAGTATTAATATTCTAAACAGACACTCCACATCATTGCATTGCATTTTGTAGTAACTCAAAACATCTTGCACTAATATCACACACATTTAACTTTTTTTCTGAGTGCAATTACTAAATATGTTTTTGTATTTTTTGTAAAACAAAATCAGAAAATCAGGACAGGGATGAACTGACCTGTTGCATTCTGTTTGCTTTGGCAAAATTGTGAAGTTCTGCACGCTAAAGAGTCTTGCCGAATGAATGTTAAACATCCCCCCAAGGATGATCTCTCCTGTTTTCGTTAAGGCTGGTAAATCAAACTTTCCTTCCAGCTTGCACTGTGATTCTTCCCCCCTCAACATAACAATTGGTGTGAGCATGCACCAAAACAAAAGGTAGTGCATTGCCATTTATTAAGCAACTCTACCTACTATGGCGAATGTATTTCTGTCATTTGTGAAATAAGTGTGTGACAAAACATTTATACAGGTATAGGGTGGCTGGGTATTCCTGAAATTCGGGGAAACAAAAATATTTCAGTATTATTCCAGTAGGTAACTATGTGACGATGTAAAGTTTCCTTTTTGCCTAAGGGAGTCTTGAAAAAAATCACTGTGTTCTTCTCGATTCCAATCACCTTAATGAGCTGTCGGAGGGACTGGGGAAATCTGAACAAAATAACAGTTCTTACATCTGTACATTGATTGCATTATCTATTTACGTAGCATACTATGTCAAAGGTTCACAAAGCCACAAATGTTTGAATGTATTTTATGCGTATGTATGCATGAACAAATGAAAAACAATTTGATTGAGAATGCTCCAAATTCTTGGGGGATGCGCAAATAGTAATAATGAAATGCCTGGAAATTATACCTCGAGAAAACTGTAGCCGTAGATCAATCCCAGAACATTTTGAGAGACATAGGTGAATATTCCGACTGCCCTATGTTAAGGCTGATTCATTAAAGGAATATGAATGAAAGAGGGATTCCCCCCTCCCCCACACCGAGCATGTTAGTGATGACTATGCTATAGGAAAGTTAAGTGACCAACAACAACAACTAGCGCCCTCCACGCTGGGTGGCGTCTCAGAGCTTAACAATGGCGGAGCCCGAGGCCGAGCCGGGGGGAGGGGGAAGGTGACTGTAGGCACGGTCGGAGAGGAAGTTTCAGGCACGACCTGAAGATGGGGGAGGAGAGGGCGAGGCCGACGGGTTGAGGGGGGGAATTCCAAAATGTCGGGGTGTAGTGGATGAAGACACGGCCGCCGATGTGGAATGGAGGATTCGGGGGACGCGGTGGAGGCCGAACCCAATAGAGCGGAGGCAGCGGGTACTACAGTGGGGAGAGAGGAGGTTAGAGAGATGCGGGGTGGGGGGGGGGGGGGTGCAAGGAATGGAGGGATTTAAATACTAGAGTGAGGATCTGGAAGTCGATCCGCTCTGTGAAGGGAGCCAGTGGGGTTTGGCAAGGACTGGAGTAATCGGGGTACGGAGTTTGGTGCGGGTGAGAATGCGGGCGGCGGGCAACCAACCATTTAAGGCAACTACTGTTACAGCAAATTGTCTTCTAATGAACAATTTGCTATCCCAGCAGCTGAACAACATGGGATTGGGGTTTGTGTGTGTGTGTGTGTGTGTGGTGGTGGAGGGGGGGGGGGGAGGGGTGGGGTCTTGTACCTGGTGAAAATTAGCAAAGGAGGTGGATTTGGAAAACAAATCTGAACTGTTTCAAAATATATTGTCCTTGAATGATAACTCTTTCTTTCTTTCGAGTTGATCAACTGAATACGTAGAATACAGTATATACTTGCACTATAGAATTTATTTTTAAATAGTCACAAAATGTTAAGAAAGCATAATAAGTTGATCTGTATACACTTAGATACATTCAGACTGTATACACTTAGATGCATGTGGACTGTACACACAGATACACGTAGACTGTACACACTTGGATACATGTGGACTGTATACACTTAGATACATGTAGACTGTACACAGATACAAGTAGACTGTATACACTTAGATCCATGTGGACTGTATACACTTAGATGCAAGTGGACTGTATACAGTTAGATGCAAGTGGACTGTATACAGTTAGATGCAAGTGGACTGTATACAGTTAGATGCAAGTGGACTGTATACAGTTAGATGCAAGTGGACTGTATACAGTTAGATGCAAGTGGACTGTATACAGTTAGATGCAAGTGGACTGTATACAGTTAGATGCAAGTGGACTGTATACAGTTAGATGCAAGTGGACTGTATACAGTTAGATGCAAGTGGACTGTATACAGTTAGATGCAAGTGGACTGTATACAGTTAGATGCATGTAGGCTTTAAACGGTGACACACGTTCAAAGTCTCTTCGAAGGCTCTTTTCCCATCAAATGCTTCTTGGTGTTCTGCGCGGGTTTTAACAATATAATGTAACACTTCGGAGCAAAAATACACACGAGCAACGCAAAGCTGGACATCAAGATAGCAAATACCTCCACAGCCACAGAGTGTCTCCCCGGAGAGCTCACATACACCGGGATGTAAGTTATCCAAACTGCACAGTGTATGAGCATGCTGAAGGTTATACATTTTGCTTCATTGAAATTGTCGGGTAACTTTCGCGTGAAAAAGGCAATCAGGAAACACACACAGGAAAGCAGAGCTATGTAGGCAGATGCCCAGTAAAATGCAGTCACAGATCCCACAGCACATTCTAAAATGATGATGTCCTCGTAGTACTCGGTATTTTTAAGGGGAAAAGGAGGTGACAGAGTCAGCCACAGGGCACATATGAAGCTCTGAACAAACGTTAGGATAAAAACGCTTAAACGTTGCTTCGTGGCATCAAACCACCTCAGGACGCTGTTGTTTGGCACTGTTGTCTTAAACGCCAAGAGCACGAGAACGGTTTTCACCAAAACACAGGAGAGGCACAGCACGAAGGACACACTGAAGGCGCCGCGCCGCAGCTTACAGGTCCGGCCCGAGGGTTCGCCAATGAACGCGAGTGCGCACAGAAAACACAGCCACAGGGCGAACAGCAACAGGAAACTTAACTCGGAGTTATTGGCCTTTACAATGGGAGTGTGTCGGGACTGAAAAAACACAGCAGCTACGACCAGTGTCGTGCAAAGGCCAGTCAGGGCGAGGGAGGCTAAAGCCGCACCCACCGGCTCGGTGTAGGAGAGGAAGTCGGTCGCTTTTGGTAGACACTGATCTCTGAGTCGGTTGGACCAGTAATCCCATGGACATCTGATGCAGTCAGTGGAATCTAAAATAAATCAATCTGCAGTCATAGGGTGAATAGAAATACAGTATAGGTATTGTTTCAAACGTTGCGGAGAGCCAGAGTTACTACTGAAGCTGTTGACATGTGTGAAGCTCACCTGTCACGTTACTGATTTCACCGTCAGAGCACTGTGTACAGTCAAAGCAACAGATCGGTTGTCCCTTCTGGATGACTTTTCTTGATCCACGCGGACAGCTCTCCGTGCAGATGGCCCGAGGAACCTGAGGAGCAGTTGTAGATTGTTTAGGTACTACAGGTGTACAGAAACAAACACTGCGAATCATGAACAAATTTCCCAAATCGTCGGGACAGAGTTCAGCATTAACAAGCAACGCTCAATAAATATCTTTCCCACGCCCTGGACAAGGCACATATGGACCCCTAGTGAATTAATTCTCACTGAATATCACAAGCATCAACTGCGTTTGATTATATAGATACACATTTATTTTTAAAAAAATTCTTGAGGCTGTTTGGTGGGAGGGAGGGTGGGGGGCGGTGCAGGGAGACAGGGGGTGCCTTACCTCGGTTTGCCCACCACTCCATATTATGTCCTTCTCATTCAGCACAACCTCTTGTCCGGGAGCCGCAGATCCATCATAATAGCCAATGATCTTCATTTCTGCTTTGCCTTCCGAATTAATCTGCCAATTGATTAAATCATATGTGCCAACTGGGTCTCCATTCACATCGAAATAGACGTTGTCACCACTCAGTGTCGTGAAGTTTACTGATTGCATATAATGTAGGAGCTGTTGGAGCAAAGCAAAGAGCAGTGGAGGACATTATATGCACCAACAACGCGTCGACATAAATTCGAAGACGCTCATCGTTGAATATAAAGAATCACCAATTCTATCGGCATAGTTTATGCACTAACATGCGACTTGCAACGAAATGCATTGAACCCCTTACCTGCCAGGGTTCAAAATGGGAAAGATTTGCACAAGTGTTATTCATAAATGGACCTTTTCCCCTTTCACAAGAAAACATGTGGTGGAACGCGTGGGCAAAGGCATAGACTGCTTTGTACACGTTGCAGGTGGGTCCGTCTATCTTTAAGTAAGAATAAGCGGTTTGTAAATCTTCTAAGTGCTCTTTCCCTGTACATTGTCGTGATCCCGATGTGACTCTCTGACTTGACGCGCTTTCTGATCTTAAAGTACATTTGAACGCTGTTTCCCAAAACTCCTTCACTAAAGTGTTATCGGGGAATCGTGAAGGGTGAACACTGAGCAGAAAATCTCGCAGCCCCGGTATTCCTGACCGCCTGATTGCTGTGCCGACCGTTCCCACGAGTAATTGGGTGTTTTCTTGTGAAGTGAGGGTATCTGATGTAACCCAGGCTTCGCTTCCAATCCACTGAATATCAGTGACGTTTTGACGTAAAAGTTCTTTGAACAAAATGCGCATTTCTCGTGTTGCGCAAAATGCCACGACCACTTTCGTACTTGAACGTTTAACGGTTTGCACAATGTCCGTTATCCTCTCTATGGGATCGGTCCTGTAAAAGGACTCGGAAAAGGCGATGCAAACTCCAAGCTGATGAACAGTGTCTATGAACGTCTGCATTCCGAAGTTTCCGTAATCGTTGTTGACTCTAATTGTTCCAATCCAATTCCATCCGAACTTTCTGACAAGAAAAGCTAAAACCTTAGATTGATAAGAGTCGCTGGGGATGGTTCTGTAGAATGTTGGGAATTCTTTCCTGTTGCTGAGACATGCACAAGTGGAAAAATAACTGACCTGTAGCAGAGAAATTAATGGCAAATCATAACAATAAGACCACACCTTGTTTCAAAAAGTATTGGATTTCCAGTCTACATTCACACACTTCAATGGGTTACTCCATTACCACTATGGAAAGAGGTTAAACATAATAATAATAATAATCCTGGCATTTGATATAGCGCTTTTCACGTCGGGAGGACGTCCCAAAGCGCTTCACAGAACACACTGTAAAGTGAATTGACTGTATATTTGTGGGCGAACGCGGCAGCCAATTGCGCACAGCAATGTCCCACAAACAGTCGTAGATTGAAAATGACCAATTTATTATTGTTTTTGGTTTTGGAGGGATTATTATTAGGCTCTGTGTGGAGTAAGGAAACTTGCCCGAGGTTTCGCCCTCTGCCTGGAATTGAACTCAGCAACAACAACAACAACAACAAGATTCCATTTATAAAGCGCCTTTCACGTCAGGAGGACGTCCCAAGGCGCTGCACAGTTGGGTCATGACCCGAGCAGGGGGGAAATGGTCAGGGTGAGGGAAGGGAGGGAGCAAGGAGGGGGGAAAATGGTCAGGGTGAGGGGAGGGAAGGGAGGGAGCGAGGAGGGGGGAAATGGTCAGGGTGAGGGAGGGAAGGGAGGGAGCGAGGAGGGGGGAAATGGTCAGGGTGAGGGGAGGGAAGGGAGGGAGCGAGGAGGGGGGAAATGGTCAGGGTGAGGGGAGGGAAGGGAGGGAGCGAGGAGGGGGGAAATGGTCAGGGTGAGGGGAGGGAAGGGAGGGAGCGAGGAGGGGGGAAATGGTCAGGGTGAGGGGAGGGAAGGGAGGGAGCAAGGAGGGGGGAAATGGTCAGGGTGAGGGGAGGGAAGGGAGGGAGCGAGGAGGGGGAAGAGAGTTGAGAGGGGAGCTGAAGGCACAGTCAAAGAGACAGGTCTCTCGCTTGCAAAGCGAGTGCTCTAACCACTGAGCTACAGGACTCCACAATGTCCGTTATCCTCTCTATGGGATAGCAAGGATTGGCCATTACCCCATCATCCAAACAACTGTATTGAACACAAACTCACTGATCAACCCCTACTGTATCAGACCCTCAATTCAAGTTTTCTCACCAACAATCGCCTTCGCCAGTTACATGATTATTTGATGTGAATTCAAATCAAATTGGAGGCTGAATTGCAATGTTTCTTGGACCCCAATAGGAACTGAGGTGATACTGTTCCCATTCATAAAATATGACCCTTTCAATTGAGCAGACACAAGAGAAATCTGACAAATTGCCTGGATTGGAACCAATTTTGTAAAGCGGAAAGTGTCCAATATCAATTAAATCTCTGCACTATGTATCAGCGTAGCTCCATGGCAGCATTCTCCCCTCAGACTCAGAAGTTTGTGGGTTCAAGCCCTATGTAGGGACTTGGAATCGCACAATCTAAACTGAAACTCCAATGCAATGCAGTGGTGGTGGTGGGGGGGGAGGTTGCATTGTCTGAGGTGCCCTCCTCTACAGGAGATGTTAAACCAAGCTCCTCGTCTGTCTGTTCAGGTGGTGTTAAAGATCTCATGGCACTATTCGAAAAGAGAAAGGAATTTCTCCTGTGTCCTGGCCAACAAATCCCCCAAATACAAAAAGGTCGCTCACTCCATGGCTATTTGTGGGACTTTGCTGTGCATAACCTTGCTGTTAAGTCGCAGTCATAATCATTATTATTATATTAAGTCCTGTGACTCAGTTGTTAGAGCACACTCCTTGCAAATGAGAGACCTGGGTTCAATTCCCGGCAGGTAACCTTGGGCAAGTTTCCGTACTCCACACACCTGATAATAATTTCTCAAGAATAAAAACAATAATGAATTGGTCACTTCAATCCATGACTGTTTGTGAGACACTGCTGTCCCAATTGGCTGCCGCATTTCGCCCACAAATGTACAGTCAATTCAGTTACAGTATTTTCTGTGAAGCGCTTTGAGACATCCAGAAGATGTGAAAAAGTCTATATCAAATGCAAGGATTATTATTATTATTATTATTACTATTATTATTATTATCATTATTATTATTATTATATTGGTGAACACTGGGCAAAATAAAGAAGGGAACTGAAGGAAACACTGTAATGATCTTTAAACACAATCTTGATAATGTTAAATCGCTATTTGTATTTAAAATATGTAACTATCATATGCTAAATTATCTGTGCTCTTGATGAAACTCTTCTTACCAATGGAATGTTGAAAGGGCTAATGAATCTTGTTACTGCTATGGATTCCAAAGATGATCCGCCACCAATAAGTGCTGATATCCTAGAACGTTCCCTGCAGTTTTCACCAGAAACGGTCTCCTCGATGTCATTGATGAGGGACAAGGCGGCTTTTGTTGCAATAGTGGAGGAAGAGCAATCATCATAAATTCTGTAACCCAGAGCAACGTTGGGAAGCAATGCACTGTTTTGGTTTATTTCCTCTATGGCAAAGATCATTGTCTGTGCAAGGCGAAAGGCTCTGAAATCAAAACTGGGCAACAACAGAAAATCCTCAGGCTGAAATATGTTCAATTTCCTCAAATCAGTTCAATGCAAATTTGTGTAAGATTTGCGTTAACTCGGAAGTTGGATAAAATTGTAAGTACAGTACTGGCTTATTATTTTACTTTTGAAGGTGAAATGCCTGCTACCAATGTTCTGGTGGATGTTGGAAGTCCCATGGCACTATTTGAAAAGAGAAGGGAGTTTCTCCCGTGTCTTGACCAAGAAATCCTCCAGAATAAAAATTAGTCACTCACTCCACGGCTATTTGTGAGACATTACTGTGCGCAACCTGGCTGCCAAGTTGCTGTATCGAATGCAATCATCATCATCATTGTTATGATATTGGCGAACATCAGGCAAAATGTTCAATTCCTTAAAATTAATTCAATACAAATTTGTGCTGGATTTGCGAGAACCTGGAAGCCAGGTAAAATTGTAAAAACTGGTTTATTCTTTTACCTTGAAGGGGAAATGATTGCTATCACTGTTTCAAACGTGGAGTTGGGAAATTATAATTAAAAAATTATTAATCTTTGCATTTGATATAACACTTTATCACAACTTCAAGACGTCTCAAATCGCTTCACAGAATATATTATAAAAAATGAATTGACTGTATATTTTGTGAGCGAAACATGGCAGCCAATTGCACACAGCGGTGTCCCCACAAACAGTCGTGGATCGAGTGACCAAATTATTATATTTTTAAATTAAAAAAATTTGGGAAGGCAATATTACTCGCCGAAAAGTGATCCGCCAATTGACTAATGACTGGATTCCTACTTACTGGAGTAAAGAAACTTGCCAAACATTTTGTACTGCCCAGGGATCGAACCCAGGTTCTCTGGCTTGCGAGGCAAGTGCTCTAACTGCAAAGCTACACAACGTCAAATTCCTAACGTGTACAATTATAATGTGAATTATACAAATACAAATTTTCACTGACAATAAATAATTTCAGCATAAATTGCATTTTAACCAGATACTCACAACTCATTCCATCTGCAACAGACGAGCATAAATTTGAGTAACCGGATTACCTGTAGAATGAGATAACCTAAAACCGAAGTGGCATTTGTCCATAGCAGACCCTGGACTGACCTTTTGCATTTAGTTTCTTCTGGTGTCACTGCAAAATCATGGATGCGTTCAAACCTGTCAGAATGCACGTTAAACATACCACCCAACACTACGTCTCCAGGCTGAGCTGCGTCGCTTAGATTGAACCTTCCCTGAAGTCTACAATCAGGCATATATGTGCACCACACAGGCAGAGCAATGAAGAATCCCCACAACAAAAGATGCATTATAACAGTTATCACTGTTCTAGGTTTCATATAATGAAAAATACCATCAACTCCAATTTATATTAACAACACAGAATGATGGGTAAGATAAATGGTTAAAACTGCGCATCTGCTTATGCCCCTTTAGGGACTAAACCTCTGCTTAAAAAAGAAATGACATGCTTTCTGCCTTAGCCTCAGCCTGTCTGAATATAATGGGATGAAAAGACATTCTAAATCGCTTGTATATTCTTTTATATTGAATGGAAATACAAATTTGGCATTTTAATGCTTCGGTTTTCCACAATATATTTTGAAAATGAACTCTCATGTAAACTTAGAAATGTATGGAACCATAAAAAAAAACTGTCCATCTGACTGCAATCACATTCCGCTCAATTTAATTTCTTATCAAATAACAGTCTAATACCCTCTTGAATTTACAATTTGTCTCCACCTCCTCTCTCAGTTCATTCCACAAATTCAGGACAACAGTGTGTAAAAAAAACAAGCCTAACCTTTGTTCACCTCCACTCAGGCACATGTCCCATTAATATAGGTATTGTGATCATACTAATTGTGTTAGGGTTCCATTTACCTATATTCTTTAAGTATATATAAAAAAGGAATATATTATGTGGCTTAGAATCCTTTTTTAAACCAATTATGCTTCCCGCATTAGGAGTTGGAACTCATAGTTCAGGCTGACACTACAATATAGTGATGGAGGAAGGAGGACTACATTGTTAGAGATGGTCTCTTCCAACTAAATTAAATCGAGATGCAGCCTTCCTGTTAAGGTGACGTTAAAGATCCTATGGCACTATTCAAAAATATGATGTCCTGCCAACACCCCGCCACCCCCCCCCTCCCCCGCAATAAAATTGACCATTCACTTTCTGGTCGTTTGAGATGTTATTTTATGTATTGTATTGGCTGGCCCAAAGGTCCACAAAATATTTGGTCACCACACTTTATAGTATAACATTTGAAATGCTCAGTGATGTCAACCTGGCATGATAAGGTGCAAAATCAAATGTGAATATATTATTATTCTCCAACAACAACAATTTGCATTTATATAGCGCCCATCACACAGGGTAATGTCCCAAAGTGTGAGTCGGGGGGAGGGGGAGGTGTCCATAGGCACGATTGAATAGGAAGGTCTTCAGACATAACCTGAAGATGGTGAAGGAAGGGGCAAGATGAAGGAAGAGTGGAAGAGTGTTCCAGAGTTTCAACAACAACAAATTATATTTATATAGCCCCATTTATGACAGGAGGACATCCCAAGGTGCTGGAACAAGGCGTAGTGGCTGAAAGTGTGGCCAGCAATGGTGGAATGGAGGGCACGAGGGACATGCAGAAGGTTGGAGTCAGTGGAGCAGAGACAGTGGATTGCGGGGTAGGGGTTAAGCAGGTTGGAGAGATGCCAGGGCATCAAGGGATTTTAAAACTAGTATGAGGATCTTGAAATTGATCTGTTTGGTGACAGGGAGCCAGTGTAGATTGGATAGAGTTGGTGTGATGGGGCTACGGAGTTTAGTACAGATAAGTATACGGGCAGCAAAGTTTTTAATCAGCTGGATCCTGTGCATGTTGGAGCTGGGCAGACTTACTCATTCCATTAATGAGTGTGGTAATATATTGTTCTGTCGAGTCGATATGAATACATACAGCTGAATATTTAGTTACAATATACCTTGAGAGACCATCAACCAATAGAAATCTACAGCAGTGAAAAAGGCTATTTGGATATTTTATCTTTTGGCTCTTCAGTCCCAATTATTTTATATTGTTTATTAGTCACAACCGGGTATCTAACTCATGCAAAAATTGAACACCATGCTTATGAGTATCCAAATCAAACTGAAAATTCCATGCTTCCTACACACGCATGGAAATTTCAGAGATATTTATTGGAATGGAATGTGCACTCGCCCCGCTGGAGTCGCACCCATCTTACCTAATTTAAGGAGCAGGTTGGCAAGAGCCAAGGCTTGGGGACCTCAGAGTGTGCATTGGGGTAACTGCTGGAGTCTACCCAGCTAAAACCTCATAGCTTGCCTTTGAGAGCGCTGTTTGGCAAGTTTTCCAGTGCAGACTTGCCTGGTGTGGAACTAGACAAATAGAGACAGCCAGAGAGGGGTGGCTGAATTCTGACATTCCGTTGCCAAACATATCAACTTGGAGCCAGTTCAGCTCCAAGGAGACCACGCTCACCTTCCCCCCTGGAGAATAGTCACTAGTTGGTCATTTGGGCTAGAGTTAGGGTCACCTTTACCTACATTTTCCCACCCCTATAGTTTATTCTTTACAGTTCCTCCTTCCCAATTCATCCATGTGTAGTTCTCCCCGGAACTTGAAAAGGTCAGAAACTCTCACACAATTTCTGCTTTAGTGCCCAGTACATTACACTTCAACAACAACTTGCATTGCTATATGCCCTTCATGCAGGGTAGCATCCCAGAGTGGCAGAGAACGACACCGAGCCAGGGAAAGGGGGAGGTGACTGTAGGCACGGTCGAATAGGAAGGTCTTCAGGTGTGACCTGAAGATGGGGAAGGAAAGGAGCAAGGCAGAGGGATAGAGAAAGAATGTTCCAGAGTTTGGGGGCCAGTGCCTTAGGATATCCTCCCAAGGTGAAAGGGCTATACAAATAGCTGGGGAGACCGGCAAAGAGGGCATTTGAGAAGTCGAGTTGGAAAGTGATGAACACATGGACGAGTTTTTCGGCTGATTCTGGGGTAAGTCAGATTTGGGCAATGTGGTGGAGATGGAATAAGGCAGTCATGGTTAAGGACTGGATGTGGGGAAGGAAGGATTGCTGTGGGTTGCCTCATTTGAGCACTTCATTTGCAAGTCTGAGGGATAGACTGGGGAGGTTGAGAAGCTCAGAGCTGCAGGATAGAAGATGTTGACAGGAGCCAACAAGCATGGCTCCCGTCTTGTCAACATTGAGTTGTAGGATGTTTTTACTCATTGTGGCCAGAAAGGCCAAGAGAACGTCAGACCTGGAGTTGCAGCTGGAGGAGGAGAAGTAGATTTGTGTGTCATTAGCATACATGTGGAAGTTTACCCCATGTTTGTGGATGACATCGTCAAGAGGGAGCAGGTAGATGAGGAATAGGAGGGGGCCAAGGATGGAGCCCTGGTGTACACCACAGGTGACCGGGCAGGGGCGCGAGGAGAAACTGTTTGAGGAAGTAAAGTGAAGGCATTTTTGTTAGGTAGGACTTGAACCATGCGAATGCAATCCCACTGAAGTGGATGAGGGAGGAGAGGCGGAGTATGAGGATGGTGTGGTCGACTGCGTTGAATGCGGCGGAGTGGTCCAGGAGGACAAGGAGGCAGAGGGAGCCCTGGTCACAGTGAGAGAGGGGTCATCGTTTGTGACCTGTGAAGCTCTGTATCTGTGCTATGGGCAGTGCGGAAAACAGACTGGAGGGGCTTGAGGAGGGAGTGAAGGGAGAGGTGAGAGCAAAGCTGGTTAGCGACAACTTGTTCCAGAACTTTGGCGAGGAAGGGCTGGCTGGAAAGAGGTCGTTAAGTTGTGAGGTTGGATGGTTCAAGGGTGTTTTCTTTTGAGGAGGGGGGTGATGACAGTGGATTCCCTGAATTGCACATGTATGCACAGTGATGGAATGCAGATTTATTGACAATTGA